ATTTTTTTCCATATCCTTGCCAATACTGTTATCTTTGATAATAACTATTCTAACAGGAATGAGATGATATCTTGTTGTGGTTTTGATTTACACATCCCTGATAATGAGTGATGTTGTACATTTTTTCATATTCCTGGCCATTTGTATGTCTTCTTTCAAGAAATGTTTATTCAGGTCCTTTGTCCTCTTTTAAGCCTGGTTACTTATTCAAAGGTTTACTATTGAGTTGTTTTGAGTTACTTATGTATTTTGGATTAATCTCTTACCAGATGTGTAATTTGCAAGTAAAGTGTTTTCTCCTGTTCTGTAGGTTGTCTCTGCATTCTGTTGTTTGTTTCTTTTTTGTGTAAAAGCTTTTAGTTTGTGATCCCATTAGTGTATTTTGCTTTTGTTGTCTATACTTTTGAGGTCATATCCAAAAAGTCAGCTCCCATAACCATGTCTTAGAACTCTTTCCCTGTTTTCTTCTGGTGGTTTCATAGTTTCAGATTTTATAATTTTTAGTGTAGAGGTCTTTCACTTCCTTGGTTAAAGTTATTCCTAAGTATTTCATTTTCCTGTAGCTATTGTTAATTAGATAGTATATAGACATATTACTGATTTTATATGTCTAATTCATATCCTATAACTTCACTGAATTCATTTATTAGATTTAATATTTTTGATAGAGTTTTAAAGTATTTTATCTATTTAAGACCATGTTATTTGCAAATAGTAATAACATTTGGATGCCCTTTATTTCTTTCTCTTGCTTTGTTGCTGTGGGTAAGACTTCCATTACTGTGTTGGGTATAAGTGGCAAAGTGGGCATCTTTGTCTTGTTATAAATCTTGGAGAAAAAGCTTTCGTTTATTCCCATTCACTATCATGTGAATGGCTGTGGGTCATTGCTGTGGGTTTGTCATGTATTATCTATTATTGTCTTGAGGTACATTGCATCTATACCTAATTTCTTGAAAATTTTTATTATAAAGGGATGTTGAATTTTGTCACATTTTTTTTCTTCCTGGATCAAAATACACTTCCTGGATCTGTTGAAATGATTATACAGTTTTTATTCTTTAATTCTGTTAATGTGTTGTGCCACATTTATTGATTTGTGTATATTGAACCCTGGGACGAATCTCACTTGATTATGGTGAATGATCTTTTTAATGTGCTAGTATTCAGTTTGCTAGTATTTTGTTGAGATTTTTGCATCTGTGTTAATCAGGGATAGTGGCCTAGTTTTCTTTTGTTGTGTCCATATGTGGTTTTGGTATCAAGGTAATGCTGACCTTGTAGAATGAATTTAGAAGTATTACCTTCTCTTCAGTTTTTTGGGAATAGTTTGGGAAGGAATTGGTATTATTCGAATTCAGCAGTGAAGTCATAAGGTCCTTGGTTTTTCTTTGATGGCAGACTTTTTATTACTGATTCAATTTCCTTATTATTGGTCTGTTCAGATTTTCCATTTTTTTTAAAATAATTTCATCTTGATAGATGGTATGTGTCTTTTTACCAGTGAGTTTTATACTTTCAAATTCCCTTTAATATTTATTGTAAGACAGTTCTGGTGGTAACAGAGGAGAGTTTTTCTGGGTACAGTCTTCTTTTTTTAAAATATTTTTTTAGTTGTAGATGTACACAATATCTTTATTTTACTTATTTTTATGTGGTGCTGAGGATCTATCCCAGTGCCTCATGCATGCGGGGCAAGAGCTCTACCACTGAGCCACAACCCCAGCCACCCCACCACAGTCTTCTTGATTGGCACTTTTTTGTCTTTAACACTTTGAATATAGGATCCCACTTTCCCCCTTTCTTGTAAAATTTCTACTGAGAAGTTTGTTACTAGTCACATTGTAACTCCTTCATATATAGTTTACTTCTTTTATCTTACCGTTCAAAAGGATCTCTTTATCTTTAGTCTTTGACAGTGTGATTAAAATATGTCATGGGATAGTCTTAAATTTTGAGTAAATATTGTTGGAGATTTTAGACCTTTATGTACCTGGATATTTAATTTCTGGGGATTGAACAAAGGGATGTTCTATCAGAGCTATATCCCCAGCCTAAGTTGCTGACACTGGCCTTGAATTTGTGATCCTCTTGCCTCAGCCTCCCAAGTTGGTGGTGGATTACAGGTGTCACCACCATGCCGGGATATAACCTATTTCTCTTTTTTTGTAGTTCCTTTTGAATACAAATGATTTATGCATGTGTTCTTTTGATGCCGTCCCATAAATCCTGTACTCTTGGAGCATTTCTTTTATTTATTTTTTCTTTTCTCCTCTCTATATTTTCGAATACCCGTCTTTGGGTTTATCCATTATTTTGTTTAATCAGTTCTACTATTGATGCTCTGTTGCATTTTTTTTTCATTTATTGTATTTTTCAGGATTTGTGTTTGTTTTTTTTTTTTTAAATCAATTGCTCTTTTAAATTTCTGTGACAATTTTCTGACCTTTTTGTTGTTGTTGTTTACAGAGCTTCCTTAAAATAGCTATTTTTAATTCTTGGTCAGGCCATTCATACGTCTCCATCTTATTAAGGTCAATCACTGACAACTTTTGTCCATTTGGTGATGTTATTTCCCTGATTGTTTTTGATTCTGGTCTGCATCAATTAAGTAGGGACTTATCCCAGCCTTGTACTCTGGCATTTTCTGGGAATGTCCTTCAATAGCAATCCCTAAACCCATGATTACTGCAGCTGTGGTAGTTATGGCCATAAGCCCTGGATTGCATGACTGGTGCAGAGTGGGCTGATATCCTGTGACTTCTGAGGCTGGCTCAACACTGGATTGGAATCCTATGATTGCTGAAGCTAATTCAGCACTGGGGGATACCAGAAACCTACTGTTGCTGAGATAAACCTGCAACTGAGATTTGTACTGAACTCAAGGCTTTTTCAGTAACTTGGTGCTGGTGGGCTACAACACAAGACCTTTACAGAGTTACCATCTGATGCCAGTAATATAAAAGTGTTCTTCCTACCCTCTTCAATGTGTCTATAGGCTCAGTCTGGGTATCAGCATGGAGGTCAAGGGCTGTCAAAGTCTGCCTGATGATGGGTTTTACTATTGGAGGCCCAATACTGAAGTCCTATGATTCCGACCTCTTCTTTCCCCAAGCAGATGGTATTTCTATCCGTGCTGTGCTGCTGCCTACAACTGGGGGAGGGGTGACACAAGTAATATAAAAGCGTTCTTCCTACCTTCTTCAATGTGTCTTTTATTATTATTATGCTATAACCAGATACTGAGATCTCTTACCAGATTTCTTTAGCTTTTGTGAAGGTAATTTCATGCATGAATAGTCATTCAAATTGATGGTTCTTCAGAGGGGTGATGACTGGAGAGTCCTCTTCCACCATCTTGCCTTACCCCACTCTGGGAACTAGACCCTAGATGCTAATCTATCAGGATGGGTTGTGAAACTACACAGGAATCATAAATTTGGATTCTTACATTATACAAGCCTGGAGTTTTGATTCTCATAGGTTCCTCCCTCCATCCCTCCAGTACGAGCAGGCCAGGTGTGAGGCATGAGTGGAGCTTTTTCAGTTCCCTTTTCACATACTGACCAGCCCTTTTCAGGATATTGTCTCAAAATTTTGGGTATTTTGTCTGCGTAGCCCCAACATACTCCTGTAGACGGCCTTGGGAGTCAGCTGGAGCTTTTATCTCTGGCTTTGTGTTTTTCTCTCTCTCTCTCTCTCTGGTACCAGGGATTGAATCTAGGAGTACTTAAACACTTGAGCCACATCCCTAGCCCTTCTTTTTGTGTTTTATTTAGAGATGGGGTCTCACTGAGTTGCTTAGGGTCTTGCTAAGTTGCTGAGCCTGGTTTGGAACTCACTATCCTCCTGCTTCAACGTCACTGGGATTACAGACGTGCACCACTGTGTAGTTTTCAATTTCTTTCTTTCTGGCACTTGGGAATTTCCTTCTCCCTTCCTTCTTTTTGAAAAGGGCTAGGTGTATAGCTCTGTGGTAGAGTGTATGCCTAGCATTGTGAGACCCTGGGTTTGATCTCTAGTACTGAAAAAAAAAAAAGCGGGAGCAGGATTTGAGGTTGAATTATATTATTCTCTTTTTGAAAATATTTATTTTTTAAATGGGTGATAGATACGTGGTTGTGAGCTAAAATTGGAAAGATAAAAATAGGTGTATGTGTCTTCTTTTGCCTTGTTCCTGTACCAGTCCCATCCCATCGCCTTTCCCTAGAGATTGACCATACACTAATTTATTCCAAAAAGCAGTTTTAAACTTTATAAAGTAGTGATTATAGTTTAATTTCATAACCAATATTCAGGATTTTCCCCCATATTTTTAACAAGTGGTTATTGTGTTTTCTTCTGCTCTGAGAGCATGTAAGTTAAAACTTTATATTTCATTTCTATGTTTTTATGTATGTTAATGGATTATCTGTGTTTCAATCTTTGTTCACTTTAGAAACGCCTCAAAATGTGAATTTGACAAAAAAGCATAAATTAATGATTAGATTGTTTTATGTGAAATTTTAAAATAGTAGAACTTTAACCCTAATTTTTGGGAGGTAGTAGAAATGATATTTTAAGATATTGGATCTTATTTAAACACAATGCAGATATCCTTAAAAATTGTCCCAATTACTAACCAGTCCATGCTGTTGATTGCAAAGGTACAAATAATTGCTCAAAGTCAGAAGTCTGTCAAAGATAAAGGTCTCTGCTGGGTGTGATGGCAGCTTGGCAGCTAAGTCAGGAGGATTCTAAGTTCAGAGCCAGCCCCAACAATTTAGCTGGGCTCTAAGCAACTCAGTGAGACCCTCTTTCTAAATAAAAAAGGGGCAGGGAATGTGGCTTAGTGTTTAAGCACCCCTGGATTCAATACCTGGTACTGAAAAAAAAGATCTCTTTTGGGTTCCCTAGTCACAATTTATACCACTGATTGCCTAACTACAGCTTGGTGAAATTTAGTAAAAATTTAGGCTAGAAATTGAAGTCTTTTTGACATAATATGTTTTCTTCCTTAGATCAACCTCTCCACTTCTCCTACACCTGCACAGTTAATAAGCCGTTCCCAGGCTTCCAGTTCTACCAGCGGCAGTATTACCCAACAGACTATGTTATTAGGGAGTACCTCCCCTACTCTAACGGCGAGCCAAGCTCAAATGTATCTCCGAGCTCAAATGGTAAGATATGAGCTACCAAAGTCTTTCAGTGTTCAAGGACTTAGAGATCAAATGTTTCTTGATTTGATGCAATGAGGAATTTTTAATATTTAAGATAGTGCCTAACAATTTTGTGTATATGATCAGTTTCTTATACATTTATGAAAGTTATAAAAATTCTAATTTGAATTAATAATACTTCTTGGTAATAAATAATATTGTTAACTTTGGGAAGCTAACAGATTCTATGACATAAGAATGGTATTTTTTAATAAGTTTACCAATTTCAAAAACTTTTTTCACATTTTAACATCTCTGAAATTGCATTTTATCTTACACTTAATAATTACTACTTACAATGGTACATAAATTATTATATATTTTTGACATGTTAGATTTGATGAAATAGTTAGAAGTGTTAAAGCCTCATTATTAGCCATAAGTAAGAGGTTATATCCTGGGACTGTCTGAAATCATATTGGAGTGCCTATAATTTACCAGATGATTCTTAGCTTTGGTTATTCCCATCTCAGATTCTGTATGGTTGTATTATTAGGCTTACTTTGATTTTTTTTTTTTAATTAACACAGGAATGTGAATTTGGTATTCTGTGATTGGGTACATACTGTTTTTTCTAATTTAATTGTTGAGCTTCTTTAAGGAATGTAGAAATGGTTGACATATATTTTATTTGATGTCTTTACAGGAAGCTAGACAAAAGCTTTGGCCCTAATGTACTTTTTTGTGTATTTCTGGATCCCCAGTTCACCACCTAAAATTTGAAAGGAAGTTTGCAGTCACATTTCTAACAGTAAATAATGATATGACTAACCTGTTATTCACAGATTATTCGAAGTATTACCATATTTCTGGGTCCCCTCATGATATCTTCTTTAAGTAATAATGTTACTTTAAAATAGGGCAGAACCATTTTAAATGGTTGCTATTTGGCCATTTTTGACCTCTAAAATTGATAGTTCGTATGGTTCAGAATAAATGGAATATCTTCTCTTTGGGTTAGAGCTTCCAGGATGTTTGTTTCATAAATTAAATAAAATATCTTTATGTGAAAGTTATACTTTGTTGTTAAATTCACTTGAGTTTAATGAAAGACTAAAGAAGTTTCAAAAGATCCCATAATTGGTTGTTTAATTTAAATAGCAGTGAGGAACTGAATAGTCCTTAAAATAATCTTGAAATAATATATTTATACATTCTTTGAAGCAACTGTCATAAGTTACTAAATTGAGTTGGATAATGTGAGTGAATTGTATTGCCTTAGAAATTAATGACATTTGTTTAACTTTTAAATTTTGAAAGAGATGGTGATGAGTGAATGAATTGAGCATGACTTTCCTTTTTTTTCTTCTTTTGATGTGAAGCTCTTTTGTTCTATTTTAACATTTTGTGGCATTTACATTTAGAATATTTCTTTACAAATAGTTTTTAAATCAAAAGAAACCTAGGTTTGTCCTTTAGATCTTCTCTAGCTGAGAGAAATGTTATAGTCTAGCGTGTGGCATAGTTATGCTCGTGGTAAAGAGGACTGAAGAAACTTTTTAGTGTTTCTTTTCATGTTTTTCACTGAAATTTAATTTGTGTCCCAAAATAGTAATTATAGTTGTCTGTTTTAATTTCCCATTTTAGGGATCCTGAGATTGTAGTTTGAACTGGGAGAAAAATTAAGTATGACAGCTTATTTGGGACAAAATTTGGTCTGAGAATTTCATATTACCAAAATATATTTTCTTCTTTGAACACTGATTTATTTTTGTACTCATCGAATCATGAGCTCTTTCAAAACCGTTTGATTTTTTTTTTTTGAGTTCTCTATTATCAGAAACTTCCCTTTGTCATGTAAAATGTTTTGCTTAGGAGATATTCCTAAACTGCATTGTCTTTATGTCATAAATTTCAGTCTTTCTTGCCTGCTATACATTGTGTGTGGGACATGTTCTTTTGTCTTAGAGTATTTTTTTGGTTTTCTGTCTGTACAGCTGATTTTCACACCCGCTACCACTGTGGCTGCTGTACAGTCTGACATTCCTGTTGTCTCGTCGTCATCGTCATCTTCCTGTCAGTCTGCAGCTACTCAGGTGAGCTTGTCTAGCTTCATAATGTGGTACTTGAGGTCTGGATTTTTAGGTTAAAGATAAGCATTGCATTTGTAGTTCAACTACTGATGGTTTCAGAGCTCTTTGTCATGCATTTCAGATTGAAATTTTATAAGATACAATAAGAATTCCAAGAAATTTTGTTTTGTAGAAATTATAATACAATTAAACAGATATTTAGGTTGTCTGACATTCATTTATGAGAGTTATGCTAATAACATTTTTAGATTTATTGTAGATTTTTCTTATTATATGCGACTTTATTTTTTGCAGATTCATCTTCAGGCAACTGTGAAATAAATCAGGGTGAATGATGGATTTTAGATTTAAAAATCAATTAAATTGGGCAAATTTTAAATTTAAAAAATTAAGTAGAATATTCTTTTATTTGATGCCATGGGAAAATAAACCTACCTTTCTCCTTACACCACTCATAAAAGTAAGCTAGAAGAAGCATGCAGACTTAAAGATAAAAGCAAAAACTGTTAAACATCTAGAAGAAATCAGGAGAATATCTACAAATCCAGGGTAGGCAAGGCCTTTTTAGATAGGATACACAAAAACACTAATCATAAAAGAAAATAATGATAAGTACTTTTGTACTCATTGAATCATGAGCATTACTTTATTAGAATTAAAAATGGTTCCTTAAAAGACTTCCTTAAAAAAGTGAAGAGGCAAGCCACAGATGGAGGGAAAATATTCATAATACATGCATCTGACAAAAGACTTGTGTCCAGAATATACAAAGTATGTTTATAACTTAATAATTAAGTTCTAAGGGCAGGAGAATCACAAGTTTGAGACCCACATCGGCAATGTAGCAGGACTGTGTCTGAAAATATAGGGCTGGGGAATGTAGCTCAGTGGTAGAACACCCCTGGGTTTAATCCTCAGTGCCAAAAAAAAAAAAAAAAAAAAAAAAATCAAACAAAAACAAATGGCAAAAGATTTGGAGATGTTTCACAAAAGACCAGTAAGCACCTGAAAAAATTCTCAGCATCATAATAATTATAGAAATTCAATCAAAACCATTGTGAATATTGCCATACACTTAATAGAATGGTAACATGTTGGTGAGAATGTGGAGCAACCAGACTCATGCATTGCTGGTGAAAATGTAAAATGAAAAAGTACAACCATTTTGAGAAAAAAAAAATTGGTAGCTCCTTATATAGTTAAATATACATTTAACATATGACCCAGCAGCTGTCCTCCTAGATGTTTTCCATGAAAGATATGAAAACATACATCTACATAAAGACATAAACTTTTAATGTTCTTGATAGCTCAATTCAGAATAACTCCAAACTGAAAATACCAATGTCCTTCAAAAAATTGTTGTATATTCATACAGTGGAACACTACTCAGAAAGAAGAAAGGAATGAACTACTGATGCATCTCAGAAACATGTTTAGCAGAAGTCTAGGCAAAAAGAGTATATCCTCTGTGATTCCATTTTTATGAAAATCTAAAACAGGCAAAACTATCCATAATAAGGGAAATCAGATTAGTGAGTGGTATTTGGGGCAGAAGGTGGGGGAGATTGGGAAAGGGTATGAGTCAACTTTTACGATGATGGAAATGTTTTACATCTTGATCAGGGCAGTGGTGTTATTGTGTGTGTATAACTCCTAGAACTGGTTCATTCATTTCATTGTACATAAACGACATCTCAATATATTTGGTAAAAATGATTTAGAGTGAATGAAGTTTAAATAATTGAGTAGAATATTACTTTGATACAGTTTTGTTATTTTTCATAGTAAATGTTTTAGACTCCTTATGGCAGAAATGGATGTTTATTATAAGGATCTTAATCTTCTAGTAATAAAAAAAGTGAGATAGTTCTTTGGTATTTTCCATATTACCTCTGCATATTATTTTCTTTAGTAATAAAGGCTAGTTTTCACATGAGTGTATGAAGGTGGTAGTCAGTTAAACTCAGGGCTGTTACAAGGAATAAATGTGACAACAATCAAAAAGTACTTAGCATAGTACCTGCTATACAATATCATATAGTACTAATTATTATTTTTGTTCTACATTGTCTGAAAATGAATATAAAGTTGGTTCTAGGATTTTAAGTAGCTAGTAGTAAAGAGAGAAACACAACCACTTAAAGGATTTACAGTTCTCAAGGTAAAAAAAACCAGCTGCTTGGGAAAACAACTGTTTTTATTTTTTTTGTTTTTCTTTTTTTTTTTTTTTTTAATTTTTTATTGTTGGCTGTTCAAAACATTACATAGTTCTTGATATATCATATTTCACAATTTGATTCAAGTGGGTTATGAGCTCCCATTTTTACCCCATATGCAGATTGCAGAATCACATCAGTTACACATCCATTGATTTACATATTGCCATACTAGTGTCTGTTGTATTCTGCTGCCTTTCCTATCCTCTACTATCCCCCCCTCCCCTCCCCTCCCCTCCCCTCTTCTCTCTCTGCTCCCTCTACTGACATTCGTTTGTCCCCCTTATATTATTTTTCCCCTTCCCCTCATTTCCTCTTGTATGTACTTTTGTATAACTCTGAGGGTCTCCTTCCATTTCCATGCATTTTCCCTTCTCTCTCCCTTTCCCTCCCACCTTCGATGTTCATAGCAGCACAATTCACAATAGCTAGACTGTGGAACCAACCTAGATGCCCTTCAATGGATGAATGGATAATAAAAATGTGGCATTTATACACAATGGAGTATTACTCTGCATTAAAAAATGACAAAATCATAGAATTTACAGGGAAATGGATGGCATTAGAGCAGATTATGCTAAGTGAAGCTAGCCAATCCCTAAAAAACAAATGCCAAATGTCTTCTTTGATATAAGGAGAGTAACTAAGAACAGAGTAGGGTCGAAGAGCATGAGAAGAAGATTAACACAACTGTTTTTAACATGCTCTCTAGAACACAATTTGTTTATGAGTTCTCATGAAGAAAAAATCTTAGGGGTATGTGTGAGAGTGTGCGTGTGTGTGGTATAGCACTGAGGAATCAACCAGGGACCCTTTACCACTGAACCATATCCCCAGCCCCCTTTTAAAGTTTTTTTATTTTGAGACAAGTTCTCAAAGTTGCTGAGGCTGACCTTGAATTTGGAATTCTTCTGCCTTGGCCTCCTAAATTGATGGGATTATAGGTATGCACCACCGTACCAGGCTTTACAACATCTTTAATATGAGTATAGTCAAATTAGTTTATTAAAGTATAATCCCAGGTATTCAGGATGCTAAGGCAGGAGGTTTGTGAATTCAAGGCCAGCCTAGACAGTATAGCAAGACCATGTCTTAAACAAACAAGTAAATAAAAAAGTGGTCTTTGAGTCCAGTTTGATGTGGTCTGTGTGATGATCTGTCTTAATTCAAGAATGTGCTTTCAAGGAACTAGAGAACTGGATTGACCTTTAGGAATCTCTTGACAAATGTTTTTTTTTTTTTTTCTTTGCTGGGCTTTGGAAAGGGGAGTGAATAAGGCTAACAGTGGTAGGTGATGCTAAGGCTTTTTAACACTGAGGGTAACTTTCCTCAAGTTCAGAACTGTTTTGGAAAATTTCTGCTCTACTCTGATTTAATTTTTTTTTTTTTTTTTTTTTGCAATTGTAGATGGACAGAATGCCTTCATTGTATTTGTTTGTTTTTATGTGGTGCTAAGGATCAAACCTGTGCCTCACACGTGTTAGGCAAGTGCTGTGCCACTGAGCTACAGCCCCAGCCCTTTACTCTGAGTTTTAAAATTATATTTGCAGTTTCTAAAAAAATTGTATTTGTAATTGATAGATATTTGAAGTTTTATTTTAATATTTTAAGCTACAAAAGTCAATATAGCATTTAATTTTTCCTCAGCATTAGACAGTTTTTATAATATACTATTAAAAATGAGAAATTTGGGATATCTTACCCTTATTTATTATTTTAAGTGCTCCAGTCCTTCTATCATGCAAAAAGAAAAAATAATTTTAGAAAGATATTATAGGGCAAAAGATATATAGAGAGAGGGAGGAATAAGAAATTTCATTTACCAAGGGTATCTGGGGAATGAGAAGGTGACAGCCATTAAGATGTACCTTGTATAAAATTTGTCCACAATAGGTAGGCTGTGTATATTTGATGTAATAATAGTTAAGGGTTTTTAAAATTTGGATTTTGGAAATTATAATACAGTCTTTCCCATCAGCATTAATCTCTGCTTAGAATTGTTAAATCTGAATCTTAGATAAGTACTATACAATTTGATATAGAAATTAATAAAATCCATTCATAGTATGTATATATATCTATCTGGTTTCTTTTTTATAAACATCTGTGTCCCAGTCTCTGCTCTATGGCCATACAGATAAAAAATAGCTAGAATTTAAAAGCTAGAAACTCAGCTTTGTTGCCAGCGCTGTGATATTGACTCTTAATTTCTTAGTTACCTTGCAATGATAGTATGCTATGATAATTTCTACAGCATTTGTTTGATTTGAATTAAATAACTGATGTAAGAGCATTTTGGCAGTGGAGACACTATAAAAATGTAAGGTGTGAAAATTAGCAAAAATACTTAATGCAAAATTAGACTCAAAATCAGAATGTTTCCCTCGTTTGATAATAGGAAAGGTTCAGGTGAAATGAAAATTGGATATAGATTGCCCCAATATTCCTTGTCTTAGGATGGATATTTTTTCTCCCCCCAAACCAAGCTCTGTCAAGGAAATCTGAACATGTGGTCTATTAACAGCTAAATTATGTTTTGGCAATATAGTTTACATGGTTGGGATTTGTGTATAAGTTTTTATACACACAAAGATATATATAGCATTGTATATAAATATATACACATGTATTTTCTTGCAGAATTCAGAAACAACGGGAAAATTAGAATGTACTCTAGAAATGGATATGGTGCAGGTTTTAGGATTCATTGTGTCAAATCCTCATTTATTGTGAATATGCTTTTCACTTCAAGGAACGCTCTCAAGATTTTCAGATGATTATTTACCCTTTGGTTATCATTTTTGCATAGTCTGTTTTATAGATTATTTACAGCTAACATAGATTCTATATTGTCTTTCTTTACCTGGGAGATTTTAATGTGCCTCCATCAGATACTTTGTTGAGGTTTTTGGGGTATATGTGAACAGATTTCATTGTTAGCCTGAGAACTGAGTATACTGAAAGAAAAACGCTGTGTAAGATGTATTTCAAAATCAGATATAGGAGAATACCTGAGATTTGTGAAGTTTTTGATATGTTTAAACACTGAAATGTAGGGAGTACAAAAAGGAGTGTTGGGCTGGAGTTGTGGCTCAGTGGTGGAGTGCTCATCTAGCACCTGTGAGGCCCTGGGTTCGATCCTCAGCACCACATAAACATAAAATAAAGGTATTGTGTCCAGCTACAACTAAAAAAAATAAAATAAAATAAATTTTTTTAAAAAAGGAATGTTAGAGATAGAACCTATTAGCTAGCCATAGTCTCAGTATTTCACAGACACATACATTAATAATTCTAAAGTAAGCTAAGACATTGTGCTGTAGGCCAATATGATCCCAATTCTATGGAAAAATCCTTTTAGAGGAAAGGGAAAAAATTGTTTTCCAACAAAGGGCTTTGGGGTTATTGCTCTAGGAGCATGAATGGGATTTTATTAGGCTTGGAAGAATGGACTTCAGGAGATAACTCTGAGGTGGGTTGGCATTTAGGCAAGAGGAGTTTGTAGGGGAAATGAAGGAAGTGCTAGATATGTTTTGAATGGGGAACAGAACAGTTTGGCAAGAATGTGAGAATTGTGGGCTAGAGGAATAGAAAATGCGGCACAAAATGGTTTGGGCCTAGATTGTGAAGGGTTTGAGTAGCAGTCTGAGAAATACCTGCATTGGTGATTTTATTTTTGTATTAAACTTTAATAATACAGTGGTTATTAGTCCATTATGTTAACATTGATAACTAAATATTTGAGAAAAATCAGATGTTCCATATAGTTTCACTTAGAAAATTCTTTCAGTAGCTTAGAATAGAATTGATTAAAACTTAGACTTCCTAACATGAACATTTTTTCAGTACCTGCTGTTGACTGAACACTACATTGGAACTTGGACAGAAGAAATATAGCCTTTAAGCATCAATTAATGATGTATTTTAAGAAAAAGGGCACACATGAAACTGAAAAACACTTATTTATAAAGCAGCAGTATGTTATTTGCTTTGTCACTTTGCAATTTCTTTTACTTCAGTTTCCTTCTCAGGACCAGTGCTAGCACTAAATGTATTTGGTATATTTATTCCAGATAAGCAAGAAGTTAGGCAGCTTACTTTCTGCCTTGCTGTTTGGAAATGTTATAAATCTCAGGTGAGAGTAATTGGGATAATCCTTGCCTCCATCCACATATAGTATATATAGAATAGCCCCAAGTATAGATAGGAGCTATCACACAAACCATGAACAATTTTTTCAGTTCCTGAGAACTAGTTCTCAGAGGCAATGAGTGTTCAATAACAGCAACAAAATTTAACTAAATTAAAAAAAGAGTTTCTGAAAATGCTCTTAACAAGTATCACAATGGGGTAGGTGATTTGATGAATTAATTTTCCTTCTTACAAGATTAATATCCCCTTACAGTCTCTGTAGTTAGAGCTGGTCACTTTTAATGTTATATGTTACAGAGTAGTTTCCTCATATTCATAGTCCATTTGAGATATAACCACCCACACACTCACAATCTGTTGTCATTTAGTCTTTCATGATTCATCCTTCCTCTGCATTATTCAATCCCTCCCTTCCCTTTCTCTCCCCTTACCCCTGCCCCTTACATCTTTTTAAAAATTACTGCATGATATTTAAGATGTGATTACTTAGAATAATTCTCCTTTTCTTCAGGATTAACCACTTGTTTTAAGTACTTGGAATGTGTGACAAGTATAATATAATATAATATAAATGTGTTGTCATTGTTGTATTGTAATGATTACCACATCAAAATCATCTGTTTTCATCCTTATTTTCTGTTATGTGATTCTTAGGTTCAGAATTTAACATTACGCAGCCAGAAGTTGGGTGTGTTATCTAGCTCACAGAATGGTCCACCAAAAAGCACTAGTCAAACTCAGTCATTGACAATTTGCCATAACAAAACAACAGTGACCAGTTCTAAAATCAGCCAACGAGATCCTTCTCCAGAAAGTAATAAGAAAGGAGAAAGTCCAAGTCTGGAATCACGAAGCACAGCTGTCACCCGGACATCAAGTATTCACCAGTTAATAGCACCAGGTAGGATAAAACTTTTATTTTATACTTGCTTTGTTTATTTTCTTAGCAGACAGAGCAAAAACAAAGATGTCTACGACTTGAATAAGAATGACATTTTAAAATGTGAATTTCCTGAGTTAAAGAACATCTCTCTATGTAGCTTTTTAAAAGGAGAGATTTAAAAAGCCCAATAGCTAAAACAGTAAAATAGACATTCTTTGTTAATTGATGGTTGACTAATGTCTTTATTGAGTGCTGGTCTCTCCTTGTAGAAATAAAATCTTTTAGCTTTTAAAAGAGATTTGCCTACTATGTTGCCTATAGTTTATTATATTTTAGTGGAACAAATTTAAAAGCTTCTAAAAAAGCAAATACGTTATTCTGTTTAAAGTCATCTATGGGAAGAATTTGTCACTTTCCAAAAATGAGGACTATGCAAATAAGGAAAGTTATTTTCCTTACTATGTTGTTTTCCCCCCCCCCCTCTCTGATTTCATCTGGGAGAAAGATGTCAGGGAATCAGCTAAGTCACTTTCATTCGTGTCAAGCTTTAAAGCTCACCTGTGCTTCCTCTTCTTTCTACAGATAACCTTGCCTCATGGTTCTTACACTGAAAATGTTGGGGCCATCCCATCCAGTGTGAGCTTCCTATCTCTTACATTCATCTAAGTATTTTTTAGGATTGAGCTTTCTTCACTTCTAGTAAGATAAAGTGTTACCTGCTTTCTTCTTAAGATCAATACCATTTGCTTATGAGCCCATCTTTTTTTTTAACCTGTTCCTGACCTTGTTTAATAGTTACTGTAGCATGTTTTATCTTCTCATGCTGATCCTTTGCTTCTCGAGCATGTTAGGTCTTCCCTATTCTTAACATATCTGCATATTTTCGACAGCAGTATAACTGTTATTTATTGTGTATGTGTGAAAGAGATGCACTAGGCTAGACACTTCATAAAAAAAAAATCCTTTGTTCCAACAATCTTATTAAGCATCATCGTTCTGTTTCTTTTTACCTGGTTTTATCTTTTTTTTTTTTTCTTTTTTCCCTTCTTTGCAGTACTGGGTGCTCTACTGTTGAGCTATATCCTCAGTCCCTTTAAAAAACAATTACTATTTTTTTTCCCTCTATTTTGAGACAGGGTACTAAGTTGCCAGGGCCAGTCTCAAACTTATGATACTCTTGCCTTAGTCTCCTGGGATACCAGGCATGTGCCCCCACTAACTGCTTTACTTTTTAGAAAGTTTTTCTACACTATTGAAGTTTGCTTTTTTTCCTACTTACATCTATTTCTATTTTCATTTTTCCTTTATGTTAAATTTAACATCATTCACTACTTCACCAAATGTTAGAATTTTGGGTTGGTCTGATTTCTCTAGTTAAAAATTTCTCCTCACTGAATACTTGTAACATTTTGTGCTCTTGTATGGTTCTTTTTTTCTTTTATAGTTATCTATATAATTATTGATCTTAGCTTCTCTATTAGATAGTAAAGTCCTTAAGGGGAGATATAATATTGAGTGTTTCTGTATTACCTTTTTTTTTTTTTTTTTTTTTTTTTTTTTTTTGATACTGGGGGTTGAACTCAGGGGAGCTTAACCACTGAGCAGCATCCCCAGCCATTTTTATTTTTTACTTTGAGACAGGGTTTTGCCGAGTTGCTGAGGGCCTCCTTAAGAGGCTGGCCTTGAACTTGCAATCCTCCTGCCTCATCTCCCAAATTGCGGGGATTATAGGCATATACCATTGTACCTGGATGATTCCTGTATTTTTGATAGATTATGTTGAAAATTCTGATTTTTTTCCAGTTAGAGTACTCTCTTTAAGGAAATGTGGGATCTCTCTCTCTCTCTCTCTCTTTCTCTCTCAGTTGGGAACTCTTTTAGGTTTAGTTCAAGCAAGGAGATTTACTTTTGGATTATTAGGTCCTCTTAACCAATACCCGGTTGCAAGTTGCAACTTACTCTTTCCTCTTTGGTTTGTAGTTTGCTAATTATCTTTACTGTTATAAGGGCAATATTTTATGTAGGTAATAACCCAGACTGCCAGAGTCTCAGGTCACTTTCAGTTCCAGATTCAGATCTTACTTACATTAACCAAATTCCAGTTTTCCACGATCCTGTTGATTAGAAAAAAAATCACACCAGAACATCTTAAACCACATAAACCTTCCCAGGTACCAAACTTATAAGTTTGTTTAAGCCTCATGTTGCTATTACTCAAAGCAATTCATATATTCTGGCAAGGCAGCAGCTATATTTTATACTCTCCTAGTTTCTCTCCTCTTATTGATGGGAAGTTAATCTGAAACTAAGATATTTTGAGAGATTATAGAATTGGTAACTTGGCCTTTTCCTCAACCAGAACTGTTGCTTCATTTTAAATATTAAAAAAACTACCTGTGTTCTAATGTAAACCACATTAATAATAATTATATTGGACATGTTTATTGTTTCCTTTATATGTATTTTTAGAATGCTAAAATAATATTTTCTGAACCACTTCTCCTTGGGTGTAGAATTCCTGCTTGTTAGTAATTCTTTGTGTGTATGTGTGTATATATACTGGGGATTGAACCCAGAGGCATTAACACTGAGCTACATCCCCATTCCTTTTTATTTTGAGACTTTCTTGCTAAGTTGCTGAAACTGGCTTCGAACTTGTGATCATCCTATCTCAGCCTCCTGAGTCATTGGGATCACTGGCATGCACCACCTTGGCCTGGCAGTAATTCTATTTTAATGCCTTCAGTAAAGGCAAACTTAAACCAAATATATCAAAATCATGAACTGTATTAGAGCTGAACATTTTTAAAACAGTTTTTAGAGCTTTTATTAAATTAGTCTAATTAGAAAATACATCATTTTTTTGCAGACATTAATTAAGTATACAATGAAAATATCTGCTTTAGCTGCTATAGTAAAATACCTCAAACTGGGTAGCTGGAAAGTCCAAGATTAAGGTCTGGCAATATACAGTTTATGGTGAGATGTCTTGGTTTGCAGATGACCTTTTTCTTGTTATGTGCATTTCCTCTGTATGCACAGTGGGGTAGAGGTAGCTCTTTGATGTCTCTTTAACATAAACACACAAATCCTGTCACTTCAGGGCCCTACCCTTAAACCTCATTTAACTTTGATTAATCTTTAGATGCCAGGGAAGTTAGGGCTTCAACATATGAATTTTGTGGGGTAGGGGAAACTGCCCATAACAAGTCCCTAGACTCAGGATTATGAGTTCTATTAGATCCAGTGGTGTCCCTTACCTGCATTTAATTACTAAGAGTTTGTTAATCTATAATATGTTGGATTAGTATAGTGCCATGCCTACCTCATGGCGTTGTAACTTGAGTGAAAAAATATATTATTATAAAGAACAGAGTTATTTGGGGCTGGGGCTATAGCTCAATGGTAGAGCACTTGCCTTGCAGGTGTGAGGCCCTGGGTTTGATCCTCAGCACCACAAATAAATAAATAAATAGAGATCGAGTCCATCAATAACTAAAAAAATATTTTTAAAAAATGTGTGTCTGTGTGTAGGAAAGAGAAATGATGCCAATCATTAGTCCTCCAAATAAAAATGATGCCAATCATTAGTCTTCCAAATATTAGGCCACCCTGATAATAATTGTTTAAAATCAGAGGAATTAAGCAACATGATGTGTTTTTCTAGAGTACTAGGCTTTTCTTGTATGATGGGGACATTGTTTCAGATATCCTCAAAATTGGGCTGGGGATGTAGCTCAGTGGTAGAGCACTTGCCTAGCATGCACCGAGGCCCTAGTTCCATCCCGAGCACCATTAAAAAAAAAATCACAGTTATAATGTCAAAATATTTTTCTCATGTTGACTTATGAACTAATGTAAAATATATAAATTTATTTTGACTTCTGATCCAAGAAAAATTTAATGTAGGTGAAAGGATAGGCTATTACTCTATTGAATTATCAGCTCTAGAATATAAACAGATCATTTACTCTCTAGCGCACAAAAATCAAGTATATGATAAATTTAGGCTGGGTGTGGTGGCACATGCCTGTAATTCTAGTGTTTTGGGTGGCTGAGGGAAAATCACAAGTTCAAAGCCAGCCTCAGCAACTTAGTGCCCTAAGCAGCTTTGTGAGACCCTGTCTGAAAGTTTAAAAAAAATAAAATAATAAAAGATCTGGGGGTGCAGCTCAGTGGTAAAGCACCCCTGGATTCAGTTGCTAGTAACAGCAACAACAACAAAAGAAAATGGTAAATATAATTTATATTTTAATATAATTTATACTTTAAAATTGAATTAAAGTTTATTTCCTTATGTATAGGAAGGGGATAATAATTTCTACCTACTCCACAGGCATTTTATAAATATAGATGAGACATGTGAAAGCATCTTGCCTTGGAGAAAAACCACTATATGAAAATCTGAGATTTTGTTAATCCACCTTCTTTGAATACTGTATAACATAGTCTATATGCACACATTTATAAAGAGCTGACAGTCTTTGTTTGAAGTACCAGTCTACTTACTATGTGAAAATTATTTTGTTAGATGAAATTTTAAACTTAATTTCCATGTGTGTGTATTTTGCAGTGCTGGGGATTAAACCTAGGGCATGCTAAGTATGTGTATGCTCTACCACTGAGCTACACCCTCAGTCCCTCATTCTTTAAAATTAATTACTAGATATCTACTGAATCTTCTAAACACTCTTTATTGAGATGTTAATTAGATGTTAATTTCTTTAATGGATCCCTAAAATTTTAAATAATAACCAAATGTGAAAGTATTTAAGAAAAAAGGTGCTGGAAGTTTTTATAAGGCTTTCGTTACACATGTTGTTAAATGTAAAAGTAGATAAAAGGAGCTGGGGTTGTGGCTCAGTGGCAGAGCACTTGCCTAATACATGCGAGGCCCTGGGTTCCATCCTCAACACCACATAAAAATAAATAAAATAAAGGTGTTGTGTCCAACTACAACTAAAAAGTAAATATTTTTAAAAAAGCATTTAAAAAAAATAAATACAGGGCTGGGGCTGGGGCTCAACAGTAGCGCACTTGCCTGGCATGTGTGAGACATTGGGTTCGATTCTCAGCACCACGTATGAATAAATAAAAATAAAATAAAATAAATTAAATGCAAGTCTTTCAGACATGTAATAGAACTTTTATCATTTTCTGAAATTTCAGAAAAAAATTATGCCCTATCTTTAGATCTATTTTAAATTGTTTGCAGTTTATCTTATAACAAACCCAGTTTCTATTTTTACTTACATAGGGAGGATTTTGCTACTCTATGTAAATATGTGCACCAGCATGCAGAAGAGGCATAATGATGGGGCAACTCTTCATAGCTCAATTATGATATCCTATATATTTTTATCCCTGTTGTGAATGTTTCTTCAGTGAAGAAGATCTGATACCATCTCTTATGAATTACCGTGGGTTTTTGTGGTGGGGGGAGCGTTAAAGAAGATCCTTTAGACAGCATGGGCTTCTGATTGCCTCATTTTCTGCAAGCAAAACTAGTGTTCTCCTAGTTTTGGAATGGCCTATAAGTTTCACTTATTATAATGGTTATTTAACTATGCTGTAAGACTTACACATATTTTGCTTAATTGAATTACATTTTTATACAAAACATTTTCTCTTCCTGGAAAAATAAACAGAATATTTGATCTCAAATTTTGAAACTTATTTAGGTAACTTTGTAATCTTGCCTATGTTTAGACATAGGATGAGATATTTATTTTATTAATTTTAATATACAGTTTTATGACTTAAAGTTACCTTTCTATGTACTATACTTGTTCATCTATGATACTCTCAAAAAGAAATTCAAGTGCATAAATTTTGCTAAAAGTTAATGTGGCTATTCTGATGACCGATAAATAGATTATTTTAGGCAGTTTTCTATTGGAACTTTTCATAGTACAGGTATTTTATCACATTTTTATAGTCTTGGGGCTGGGATTGTAACTCAGTGGTAGAATGCTTGCCACTGGGTTCAATCCTCAACACCATAAATGAATGAATGAATGAATGAATGAATGAATCATGTCCATCTACAAATAAAAATATTTTTAAAAAACTTAGTCTTTCAAGGAAAAACTGTTTCTTACAAAATTTCAAATTACCCTTATCTTAAAGACTTGCTATAGAATTCTAAATGATTATGTCCTTCATGATGTGAAGTTTCTACCTTTATATTTATTTAAAATTTTCTGACATTTTTTGAAATCAGTACTAATTGTTATTTTTTTTTCTCACAGCTTCATATTCTCCAATTCAGCCTCATTCTCTAATAAAACATCAACAGATTCCTCTTCATTCACCACCTCCCAAGGTTTCCCATCATCAGCTGATATTACAACAACAACAGCAGCAGATTCAACCAATCACACTTCAGAATCCAACTCAAGATCCACCCCCATCCCAGCACTGTATACCACTCCCAAACCATGGCCTTCCTCCAGCTCCAAGTAATGCCCAGTCACAGCATTGTTCACCAATTCAAAGCCATCCCCCTCCTCTAACCGTGTCTCCCAATCAGTCACAGTCAGCACAGCAGTCTGTGGTAGTGTCTCCTCCACCACCTCATTCACCAAGTCAGTCTCCTACTATAATTATTCATCCACAAGCACTTATTCAACCACACCCTCTTGTGTCATCAGCTCTTCAGCCAGGGACAAATTTGCAGCAGTCTACTGCTAATCAGGTACAACCCACGGCACAGTTGAATCTTCCATCCCATCTTCCACTCCCAGCTTCTCCAGTTGTACACATTGGCCCAGTTCAGCAATCTGCCTTGGTGTCCCCAGGTCAGCAGATTGTGTCTCCAGCATCACACCAGCAATATTCAACCCTACAATCCTCTCCAATCCCAATTGCAACCCCTCCACAGATGTCAGCATCTCCTCCAGCTCAGATTCCACCACTGCCCTTGCAGTCTATGCAGTCTTTACAAGTGCAGCCTGAAATTCTATCCCAGGGCCAGGTTTTGGTGCAGAATGCTTTGGTGTCAGAAGAGGAGCTTCCAGCTGCAGAAGCTTTGGTCCAGTTGCCATTTCAGACTCTTCCTCCTCCACAGACTGTTGCGGTAAACCTACAAGTACAACCACCAGCACCTGTTGATCCACCAGTGGTAAGCCCTTGGAAGCTCTTTGACTTTCTTGCTGAACTAAAAGTAAAAACTTTTTTCTCCCACACTGTTATATTGCTAAACCTAAATGCCTATGAATTTTAAAAGCTTGGTATTTCCGTATGTCAGTATTCTGACAAACATGCTATATGGGCAAAAAAAAAAAAATGCCATTATTTATTGTAGTATGGTTGCATGCTTGATAATCTGTGATGGTTATTTAAGTCCCTCGTTAATTTTATTACTATTTAAACAAATCCATCTGCTATCTTTACAGAGTTGATTTTTTTTCCCCAAGGGAATGCATTTGAACCAGTGTCATCTGCACAAAGTTTTTTCTCTTAAGGTGATTATCCTTCATAGATCCCTTCTGTTGGCTTGTGTGTTCTTGTGGTTTATCTAGCTACCCTTTTTGGTTGTATGCATTCAGAAGTCCTGGGCCTTGAGAGGCTTTGGTTTCAAGGTGGAGGAGGTATGCTTGTATGATGTAATTTTTTGGTAAAATTATATTTTGTAATTAAAATTTTATAAATAATTATTCTAGGAAAGAGCCCAAGTTTGCAAAAAACATAACTGATATTTTATTTCTACTGAGGGAAAGTATATACTTAAAATATTTCTAACTTAAAAAGCTAAAAAATCTCAGTAAAAATTGCAACGCTGGGAATGGAAGAAAATCTACGGAAGGAGTAAAAATTTTGAGTAATTGAGATTGTAATGAAATTTATTAGAATAAACTTCTAAAAATGGTTACATGTTGTTTAGAAAGGAAAATTATCTTGAAAAACATTTAAAAATAGCATCTAAGGGATTTATAAAATAATTTACAATAAATTTGGAATAAGAACTCTAAAATATTTAGTCAGAATAATCTAATTTATATTTTTTACATTTTATATTTTATATTTTTATATTTTGTATTTTATAAATCCAATTTATATTTTTTTCTTTTCCTTTTAGTACTAAGGGTTGAACTCAGGGCTTCTTGCATACTAGATACATTCCCAGTGCTTTTACTTTTATTATGATACAGGGTCTTGCTAAGTTGTCAGGCTGGCCTTGAATCTGTGATTCTTCTTCCTTAGCCTCTTGAGTAGCTGGGATTTCAGGTTTGAGCAACCATGCCCCACTCATAATTAATACTGAGAAGAAGAATTTTCCTAAAAGGAGGTTTTTGCATCATACCTCACTGAAAAGATTTTATTACTTAAAAGCTAATTGGCTTAGAATGGAAAGGAGTTTCAGAGTCTCCATAATGGGAAACATTTGGGATCTCAGAATGCAAATTTATAGATATTTTATTCTTATCATTCTGAGTGATCTTAATAAGCATAGATTGAATTCCACTTGCTGTTACCCTTTTTAACAGACCTTTACAGAAACAACAGTACTAGAAATGTTTGTCATTTATAATTATTATGTCTCTATATTTTCTTTTAATGGATTTCTTAAGAGTTTACAGTGGGTACTGTCACAAAAACTGTTTAGGAATTATATGGTATCTTCAGAGAAATCAAATTTAATTTAAATTTTATTTTCTATCAGGTTCAGTTGTTTGGCTCTTAACAAGTAAAAAATAAAACACCTGCATATTCCTTATATTTTCTAATTGTTTTTATTAAGGGAAAAATATTTGGGTAGAAATATAAAAAATAGAACACTTTAAAAACTAATTAAATTAAAACTGAAAATATTTAAGGTTGCATTTTGTTGATTCTCGCCTACCTCCCTTTTAAAGATTTTTTTTTTTTTTTTGAAAAAAGTTTCTTATCTCATTTTTGGAAGAGTTTTTTCCTATGAAATACATAATTTTCTCTGTATCACGGATATAGTCATTATGCTTGCTGTAGATGTTTTCCATTTACCTTTCCTCATCTTTTAACTTTCTTTGAGTAACATAGCTCTGTTTGTTAAATTACTATATTTTCTTCTATAATCCTTGTATTATTTTTCCATCAAAACACTTTTATTTACAAATTACAGTTTCTTGGTGGTTCCAAATATTTAAGGTAGAGAGATATACTTATTTCTTTAGAGATGAAGTTTTGAAAGATAAGAGTGAATTATCAAAGTGAAATCAGTATGTTTTTTGAAAGACATTTATAAAAGCATTAAAGTTTTTAATTGACATTTGGGTATAAATGAGATATGTTGAGGGTAGATAATTTAGAACTAATAAACAAATGTTCCTCAGTTTATTTAGGAAAGGGAGACAGATGGGAATAATGGACTTTATTGAGGTAAGTTTGGCAGTCTTTGTTATTTTTAGAATAGTTATAGTTACAAGTTAAGCAGAAAATGTGATGTGTAGTTTCCTAATGATCTTTTGAGCAAAACCTCCACTTTGCTGTTTTCAATATTTTAGTTATTGCATTTAGATTTCTTTGTGCTGATCATGCCAGATGTCTGTGACAGATTTGTTTTTGCCTACTTCTTTAAACTTTTTAACTTACTTTGCCTTTACATGGGAAATTGGAAGAAAAGTATGTATAGTTAGCCTTAACTATAGAGAATGAAAAGTATTTTACAGTATTCTTTGATGGATTATTTTTTAATGCTGTTTGTATTATAACTTCATCCTTTAAAACACTTTCATTATTTAAAAAAAAATCAGTTCAGTGTATGATAAGCTTTGATTCCTTAAAAGGTACTATAGCAAATAAATGTTTGAGTAACATGCTGACAGCATTAAGATGAAAGTGACAGTTTCAGCTTTTCTTTGGAAGAAAAGTAGTATCTACTCAAGAAAATGCTATCCACATAAAATTGAACTGGTTAATAAAAAACATACTTGTCTACATACGCAGGATTAATTCCCCAACCACTCAGACACATTAATGGGGTACCAGAAAAGTTTCATTCTTTCCTTTTTTTTAAAAAATTTTTTGGTTAACCCCGAAATGTCTTTCTAGTTGATTTTCCCTATATTGGGTATTAACATCATTTTTAAAATTACTATTATCAAGAACAGATATTAGCATTGTTATACTGTATAATAATAAATGATTGCTTTCTTCTGAGACCATACATGAGGCAAGGAATCTATTTTGGTGAAGCAGTTTTCCAGATGTAGAGTTATAAGAGAATTATTTTAATAACATTACCTACTTAGAGGCTGATTGAGATAATTCAGAATATTGCACTTGATATAAAGTTATCAGTAACAACAGAATTTTTTATTTTTATATATTGTTTTTGCCATACCTGTTATCCAACCCAGGGCCTTGTACATAATAGGCAAGTACTCTAACCATGTGCTACACCCCTGGCCTAGCTAGTAATGTAATTTTTAAGTTTTAAAAAAGACTAAAAATGTCTGGGGTTGTGACTCAGTGGCAGAGCGCTTGCCTAGCATGTGTGAGGCACTGGGTTCATTCCTCAGCACCACATATAAATAAATAAAATAAAATAAAACAAATACAGGTTCATCAACATCTAAAAAATATTTTTAAAAAAGGACAAAAAAAATTGGGGGCATTATAATCATTTAAAAAACTTTTTTTTTTTAGTAGAGGCTGGGGCATATTTTTATTTTTATTTGTAACTCTCTTTCTTGTTGTTATGTGTACATATGAAGTTTCATCTATAAACATGACTCATGCTGGATTCAGAAATCTTGATCACTTTAATTTTATATAGTTATCAAAATTTTTATTATTAAAAAATGTTAGATGTCACAGTTATTTTGTGAATATTGTTGATTTTTACTGGAATATTAATCAGTTTTGTTAAACAATTCTAAAAAACTCATAATCCTTTATAAATTTAGGTAAAAGCCTAGCACATTTATAAGGAAGGAGGTGAACTGTTTTGTAGCTTTGTTTTTAGTGTCTTTATCATCTTTCATAAATAAATGGTTAAATAAATAATAAATGATGACCAGTTAAAATACTTATATTATAATGTCTCTAGAAATGCACTTCGAAAATTAAGCCTTCAGTTTAATAAGTTAGTTATTTCTATTTATAATGCTTTTTCTCAGATTTTGATTCCATGTTCTCTTTTAAGTATAATCTTTACAGTTAAATAACAGGGTAGTTAAAGATTTAAAACCTTTCCCCCATAAATATGGAACAATATTAAAAAACTAAAATATACATCCAAATGGCTTAGTGTGTGTGTGTGTGTGTGTGCATGTGAGGGTTTTAAAGAAAGTTATATTTTGCATACATGACTGGCTTGCAGATTCATTAATTCTTGAGTAGAACAGAAAAGGAAAGATAAGTTGCATTTTTTTTTAAAGCTTTTGGACATTACTTTTCATAGTTTAATCTTTAGTTCACAACATTATGATAAAAAGAACCTGGGATATAGTTTTAATGACAGTACTTTTCCTGACCTATTATATTATTTTGGAAATTTGCTTAGTGTGCTTTTGAAAATTCCTGTTACCTACTTGGACTTTGACAAGTAGAAATTAAAAGACACAGTAGTAGTATTCTTGAGATTGATATTTGATTATAGTGAAATCAAAACTTTTTAAAATTCTCAAAATTAAGAATATGCTTAGCTTTGACTATTATTATTTTGGAAAACTTTTGGCCTAGATAACTGATACACAGCTGGATTTCAGTGAAATATTAATCAAGTATTATGAAAAACTTCATTTGAGTGATTATAAGGTTTTCCTTTCAACTTGTCAGAATAGTCATTTTTACTGTTTTAAAGTTTAATACACTTAGAATTTAATTTTTTAAAATCAATAATACCTCATTAAATGTATTTTTGGAAACATTTTAAGGCAGTGTGGTTTATCATTGCAGGTTTATCAAGTAGAAGATGTGTGTGAAGAAGAAATGCCAGAAGAGTCAGATGAATGTGTCCGGATGGATAGAACCCCACCACCACCCACATTGTCTCCAGCAGCTATAACTGTGGGAAGAGGAGAAGATCTGACTTCTGAACATCCTTTGTTAGGTAAGAAAATGTCAGCATATAGGGGAATTTTTCTATTTGATTAACGTGAGTAATGAGAAGTATTTTTTTCAACTAGAGATGGTATTAAACTAATTTGTTGCTGTGGTTAACTATAGCAAAAGGTAGATTAGAAGTCAAGATTTCAAAAGATTTTATTTTCCTTCTTGGAAAACTATTTAATAGCAGGGAAACTTTGCAGTTTATATATTTTTCAATACCACTCAAATGAAAAACATGCCTTTGCAAATCTTCTAATTTTCAGTCGCTTAACGCTTATGCAGATGTGTTTCATATGCCTATTCAGATTCTTGAATTATTTTCATCTTAAAAGTTAGAATAAATAAAAATTCTCTCAAAAGATTTAAATTACACTTTCTAAAAATCATAAAGCATTCTAAATCATACCTGATATTCACTTATTTGTAATCAAGAAGACCAAGTGCTTTTAGTTTCTTTAATATTATAGTACTTTTCTTAAAAGAGACATAAGTTTTTAAAAATTCTTGCATTTAAGTAAATTCTTATTCATTAATTCATTACTACTTATGAATTCAAGTACATCTCCTGAACATCCTTCCTCACAATATCAAAGTTCTTGTGAACCTTAGGTATCTTATTGAAATATTAGTTTAGCTTACAACTCAGTGTCTCATCTTAAAACAGATAAGTTCCATGGTTTTTTTTTTTTTTAATTTATGAATATTCTCTCTGGATTGGGGGTTGGCAAACTAGTTCACTTTCAGATATCTTCTGCTGCCTATTTTTGCATGGCTGAAGGTAAGGAGGCTTTTTAAATTAAAATAATCATTGTTCATGTCATGTGAAAATTATTTGAAATTCAAACTTTATTGAACATAAAGTTCTGTGAAGCATAGCCATGCTTATTTGTTCAAATATTACCTATGGCTGCTTTTGTGCTACTATCCACAAAGATGAGTAGTTGCAAAGACCAAGTGGCCCTTCACTGAAAACCTGCTGACCTATGAGCTAAAATATATCAATATTGGTTTTGGCTTTTTTATAAGTATCCTATTCTGTTGAATATCTCCTGGCCCTCATGATTGTTTTCAGTTAAGAAAAACTACTGTAATAGGCATGGAAGCCAAATGTAATGGGACACTGACCCTGTTTTATACCAAAGGAACTCTTGCCCTCTTCTCTTCTTTATCATGCTACATCCTCTTTCCTTCCTTTCTCTCAAGCTTTTATTTCCTAACTACTAATGTGGATCTCTGTAAAGTATAAAAGGTGAAAATTAGTTTTCTTGTAACTTTTTCCTCTTCTGAATATTGAAAACATATAGTCAATAAAATTATATAAAGTAAGATGGATTAACATTATTTCCTTTTATATTCAAAGTAATACCTCAAAGATAGATTCAAGTCTGTAATATCAAATATATGTGGTTTTTTTACATGAAAAATGCATTTTGATGCTAACAGTTTTTCTGGAGTTTTGATTTAAAAAGGAAAAATATAAGTTTAATTGAGTATTAAACATGCATTGTGACTGTGATTTAGTTACAAAATAAGCATCACTAATGATACTAAAACCAAATTTAAACATTTTTTGCAATGTTGAAACAATATCTTTACATATTTTCCTTAGGAATATATTCTGAGTTCCTGTGGATGCATATTCCTCTGGCTACGTTGTCAACTACAATATAGTTATTTATCTTCCTTTAATTTCCTTCATACTTTTCACTCTTATATTGTACATGGGCGGTAGGTGGGGACAGGGGAATACAGGTTGATTTTTACAAACTCTCATCAACTAACTTGTGAAAATAGACTTGTTTCATCTAGGATTTAGTTTTTCTAAATCTTTTTTTCTAAGTAAAAGTATGCAAAAAGCTAGGAAAAGTTTTTAGCTTTTGAGTAGGAAATGAGCTGCTGAATAGACACTAAAGTCTATAAAATAGCAAAGTTATATAAGTTAAGATTTTCTAAAATACTTGCCTTAAATCTAAAAGGTTTCATAATTGTGTTTCTGTTCTATGGTAATATGTCACAATGTTTCTCATGATTTGGTTTTATTTTTGTCTTGATGGTATTAGAAATTGAACCCAAGGGTGCTCTACCACTGAGCTATATCCCCAGCCCTTTTTATTTTTCATTTTGAGACAGGGTCTTGCCAAGTTACTGAAGGCTTGAGTTGCTAAGGTTGACCTCAAACTGATGATCTTCTTTCCTCAGTCTCCTGCGTTAATGGGATTATAGGCATATGACACCACATTCAGCTGTTTTCAGTTTAACAGTTTTTTATAAACTGGCAATTAATAGGCTTCATCAAAAAGTCAGTAACTTACAGCTCTATTGCTTTCTTTCAATATTTCTTTATTTTTCTTTCTTTCTTTTTTTTTTTTAACTGAGGTTCAAATCCAAGGGTGCTTTACCTCTGAGCCCCAGCCTTTCTTTTTTCTTTTTTTAATTTTAAATTTTGAGACAGGTTCTGGAGGCTGGCCTGGAACTTATGATCACCTGCCACAGCCTCCTGAGTCTCTGGAATTACAGATATGAGCCACTATGCCTGGCTTACAGCTCTATTTTTAACAAAATTTAGGACTAAGATTTAAATATACGATCTAAAAACTAATTAGAATATACACCAAGCAGTATTTTCTTTCTTTGTGTTTTTGATGTGGTACCGGGGGTTGAACTCAGGGGCACTCAACCACTGAGCCACATTCCCAGTCCTATTTTATATTTTATTTAGAGACAGGTTCTCACTGAGTTGTTTAGCTCCTCGCTTTTGCTGAGGCTGGCTTTGAACTTGCGATCCTCCTGCCTCAACCTCCTGAGCTGCTGGGATTACTGGTGTGCGCCACCATGCCTAGCCCAAGCAGTATTTTCTGAACAAACCAAATTATACTTAAATTATGTTTAATGCAGTATGTCTTAATCCATTTTGTGTTGCAAAATATAACAGAATACCACAAACTTGATCATTTATATTGAGCAAAAATTTATTTGGCTCCTGATTCTGGAATCTGGAAAGTTTAAGATCAAGGGGCTGCATCTAATGAGGACCTTCTTGCTGTGTCATAACAGGGTAGAAGGTATCACATGGGTAAGAGTATGCATGCAAAGGGGAGGTCAAACTCACTTTTATATCAGATCCATTCTGGTGATAAGAAACCCACTCCTAAGGTAACAACATTAATCAAATCTTGAGGGCTTTGCCTTCAGGATCTAATCACCTTTTAAAGGTCGCACCTCTTGTCAGTGTTATATTGAGGATTAAATTTCCAATACATGAACTTTGGGATTCAGACTATAGCATGCCACTTTGTATTTCTAAAGTAAGGAAGTATCATAAACCTATAAAGGATATTAAAATTTTATTTTGTTTCAGTTCCCCTATAGATTAATTTTATCTTTCCAACAGAAAAGAGAGTTCCCTTTCAGAATTTTTGTGTTTTTTATTATTTGATATATGGGATAGGCGTTTTGTGGAATATTTTTGATAATACATATGTACAACTGTATATGTGTTACTAGAATTAGCATTTTTTATTGAGTTTTTAAAGATTGTGTGACCTTAGGCTTTCTAGTGTAGTTTACCTTTGTAAATTTGGTGGAAGTAAGTTAATTTATGACTGTAACAGTGCCATTAAAAACTACATAGTGATATTTATCATGTTGGTGATATTAATGGTGAATTGTTAGTGTTTCTATTGCTTGTTTCATTCATATTAATTAATTAATTAATTAATTAATTAATTAATGGTGCTGGGGATTCAACCCAGGACCTTGCATGTGGTAGGCAAGTGCTTTATTGTTAAACTAATCCCCAGCCTGAATTTCCATATCTGAGATGATATGCATAGGATTACTACCCTATTTTATTCGTTTATTTTAAAATTTTTTGTGGCACTAGGGATCAAACCCAGGACCTGTGCTTGCTAGGCAAGTCTCTATTGCTGAGATAGATCCCTAACCCTACTACATATTTTTTATTTTTGGTACCATGGATTGAACCCAGGGCCACTTAACCACTGAGCCACATCCTCAACCCCTGCTACATATTCTATTAGCCAAGTTTTCTATTCTTTGGGGATTCCTACTCTTTCTTCTACTGTACCTAACTGGGTTATATTTTGAGTACCTTGATAGTTGGTATCAGTTCTTTTCATACTAATGGTGGAGAAGAATTAACAGAGCTGTTAAGAGCATGATGTCTAGGACCAAACTGCCCGGCTCAGTATCCGAGCTCCATTGCTTATTTGCTATGTGCCATTAAGGCAGGTAATTTAAGATGGAGATGATAATAGTATCTACCCATAGGCTAGCTGTAAAGATCAAATGAGTTAGAATATGTAAGGCATTGAACATAGTGCCTGGCATATGAATTGCTCAGAAGATATTATTATTTTCTTCAGACATCTATATTCACTGATATTCTTAAATAGCCACTGGTTCCATCTTTCCACTTTAGTATAGGCAGTAAAGGGCTGGTGCTACCAAATGGGCATAAAGTACCCATCATAGCTGTCAGGACCATCTTACTGTGGTCCTCAGAATTTGAAGAGAAAGAATCATAGGGATCCAGTCCAACATTTTGCATTTGACTAGTGCTGCAGTGTCCCAAAATTGACACATACAGTGCACATATATAGTGCCATTGAAGAGGGAGGTATCTTATTGCTTGAAGTTAAGAGTGATGGCCTGTGTGATATTCTGTGGATTTCATGATCCTTTTTTTATTTTCAAATTACTTATTTGCCTTTCTATCCATACCACCAGGAATATAGAAGTAGGAACATAGGGAATTTAATACCTGTGTACTTTAAAAAACAAACAAAAACCACCACCCATTTTTGTAATTACTCTTTGAGTTGATATTCTAAAACATTTCCTGACTTACAGGGCAGTTTTTTTTTTTAAGCCATGTGTGGATGATAACTTTGAACAAGTTGACCTCTTTTATAAAATGGAGATAAAAGTATTTCTACTTTATGATCACTGTGCAGATTAAATGAGATAGTAAATACTAAGTTCTTAGAACAGTTTTTGCAAACAACATATTGAATATTATCAATAACAGTGTTTATTCTTGAATGCTTTTTAAAGACTTGCATGGACAAAATGCTATAAAATAATTTTTTTTTTTCCAGAGGAAGTGGAATTACCTGCTGTGGCATCAGTCAGTGCTTCAGTAATTAAATCACCATCAGATCCTTCACACGTTTCTATTCCTCCACCTCCACTCTTACTTCCAGCTGCTACCACAAGGAGTAATAGTACATCTATGCCCAGTAGCATTCCCAACACAGAAAATAAGCCTCCACAGGCTATTGTTAAACCACAGATCTTGACTCACGTTATTGAAGGCTTTGTGATTCAAGAAGGATTAGAGCCATTTCCTGTAAGTAGCAAGCATATTTGTGGGTTTTTAAAAAATTATTATTATTCACATAACATTATTTTTTAAAAATTGTCTATTCTTCTATAAGAGAAAGCTTGTAATTTTATTTCAAAAAAAGTTGACTTTATCTGGAATTTAACATTCTACACACTTTACATATGTAACTTCCAAATATATTTCTACAAATTTTATGCTAGCTATTTAGATGTATAAAGTAAGGAAAAAAATGAAAAAAATTCAGAGTATAGAGGCATTACATCTGAAATTTTTAGAGACAGATAGTTGGAAGTTTACTTCAACAAAATAAACCTTTTCATTTTTTCTTTTTGACAGAATTGAAACAACACTTAGTACATTTAAGAATGGTATTTTCTTTATGTGATTTTTTGTGTGAGTTTTAACTTAGATACAGACAGTATTAACTTCTCAGTGCCCTAACACTTGAAGTTTACCAATTTATCATTTATAATTACCAGATAGTTTTCTTCCTAAATTTCAGCCTTTGACCAGATTTTTTAAATGCTTTAAAATGTTCACCTCAAAATGGAGGTATTCTATCACTATGAGTTTTACAATTTGAGATTAGCTGTAGCTGTATGTAATTTATATGATAATATCTAGAGATGAAAATTTTTCCTTAGAAAATAAATCAAGGACAAGTAGACATGTAAAAACATAAACTTCTCTTGAAAATCTTTGAATCATCTATTTTCAGATTCATGGGTGAAATTTTTTTTTTTTCAGTTGTAGTTGGACACAATACCTTTATTTTATTTATTTACTTTTATGTGGTGCTGAGGATCGAACCCAGCGCCTTGCACGTTCTAGGCAAGCCCTCTACCGTTGAGCTACAATCCTAGCTCCGAAAATCTGGTATTTTGATAGTTGCTTTTGTGGTGTTTTCTGCATGTGTATATGTGTGTTAATTTGGATTTCTTAATATGTTGGTATTGTAGATGGAGGAAGTCTTTTCTCTCTACTTAAACAAAACCATATGTGTAATTAAAACGTTTTTTTTGGATCCTGGTTGTGCTGCATACTGACCGATTTTGTAAAGTTATTCAACCTTTCTGGTCTTCATTTTGCTTGTCTGGGACATGGAGATGTTTCTTTACTCTTAGGGTTGTTGTGAGAATTAAACGTGCATACATTATTCTGTGTAGTGACTGACACATAATAGCCATAACAATTATTCTTTATTATCACTAATGATAATTAGAACTTTTGTTTTCCAGATTGCACAAGCAATATACATGTTCTAAATGAGAATTTGGGAAATGTATAAGACCAAGTAATATCACAGTGTGTGTATGTTTATATAATCAGAATTGTCATTATTACCTATATAGTCCTACTTTCACATCATAAATTTTGTGCATTTATCATTCCATATCTTTTTTTAAAAGAGATCTTTTTTAAACTTTTTATTTTTTTTGATACTGGGGATTGAACCTAGGGTCACTTTACCATTGAGCTACATTGCCAGCCTTTTTTATTATTATTTTGAGACAGAGACTCACTAAATTGCTGAGGCTGACCTCAAACTTGCCATCTTCCTGCCTCAGCGTCCAGAGTCGCTGGAATTACAGGTGTGTCCCACCATGCTGGGCTCCCTTACCATATCATTAATAACACTTTGGAAAAATTTTGTAAGGTTTCATAATCCACTTTATTGACAACCATAATTTATGTAATCCTCCCATCATTGTTGTATTATTTTAACGTTTTCACTGTTGAAATAGTTCTGTGAGGCCGGAGGTATAGGTTGTGTACATGCTCTGCATGTGTGAAGCCCCCCACCACCACAGAGAAGAAATTCTGAAAGAATTCCTTTTATATAAACCTTTGTCCTCCTTTCAGTAATTTTTTTAACCTAAATTCATAGAAATAAGATTATTTTATCATATTACATATAGCCAAATGACCTGATATATATTGTAAAATTATTTTATGGAAAGATTAAATTTATTCATCTGTCAAAATATATGGCTTTGGCAGCACTGAATATTAGTTTCTCCCCTTCTGGAACAACTTCTATAAATTTTTTTGAGGCAATTCAATATCTTAATGAAAGAAACAAAATTTTAAAAATCTGTTCCATTTAAAATGCTGATAATACTCTAAAGTTAATTTTAGAAATTTTCATTATGCTGTGATTTCCTTATGTGTAGCTGATACAAAAGATTTAACCAGCAGTCTGGAGAAGAAAGATATTCTAACCATCCTCTTTTCTTTCTTTCTTTCTTTTTTTTTTTTGGTACCGGGGGTTGAACTTGGATGCTCAACTACTGAACTACATCCCGAGCCCTATTTTGTATTTTATTTACAGACAAGGTCTCACTGAGTTGCTTATTAGTGTCTTGTTGTTGCTGAGGCTGACTCTGAATTCTTGATCCTCTTGCCTCAGCCTCCTGAGCTGCTGGGATTACAGGCATGTGCCACCTCACCTGGTATCTAATCATCATTTTTTAGCTGAAGGCTTACCTGGAGAATCAGTAAATGTGTGTGTGTGTGTGTGTATGTGTGTGTGTTTAATTTCTCCTGAAAATAGTTCTGAGTATTCAAATGAGTATTCATGATAATCAGGTAACTAAACATTGTGAATATGCTGTTGATGTTAATGTTAACAATGTTTGAGGACTTTCCTTTTGTGATTTCAGTAGGTTAGGTTGCTGACCTACTAGAAGTTAGGAGACTTGAGTTCTAGACCTGATTTTGCTTTTATAAAGCAATAACCTTAGTCCATTTAAAGAGTTTCCTTATCTGGGGCTGGGGTTGTTGCTCAGTAATAGAGTGCTTGCCTAGCACGTGTGAGGCACTGGGTTCGATCCTCAGCACCACATAAAAATAAATAAAATAAAGGCATGCTGTCCATTTAAAACTAAAAAAAAAAAATTAAAAAAAGTTATAAAATATACACAATGTGGGCTGGAGGTTATAGTTCAATGGTAGAGTGCCTGCCTAAGCATGTGGGAGGCCCTTGCTTTGCCCCACTACTTAAAAAATATATTGTTCGTCTTTTATTTGTGTTGCATTCAGATGGAAAACACTAAAGTTTCTGAAGGAAAAAGATTAGTCACCACATAGTACTTGAGAGAGAATTGTTTAATTGAGTAATGTTTTTTAAAGTTAACAAAAGAGCTGGGGGTATAGCATGGTGATGGAGCTCTTGCCTAGCAACCTCAAGGCCCTGGAGTTTAGTCTCTACCACCACAAAACAAAAACAACAAAGGAAACCCATCCAGCTCCTAAATGTACTAATGGTTATAGCCTTGCTTGGTGTTGGGCAGAACTACTGAAATATTCATAATGTAGGATAACCTGCACTATGTTTGTATTAATTCTGGAATTACTAAATCAATTACTTGCCTAAACTAAGACACTAGTTTCCATTTCACAAAGACTTTGAAGCCTTTGCTCTGCTGGTAACTAAAAATAAGGTGTTTGTGTTGAGACTTCACTCGCCTGTAATCCCAGTGGCTCTGGAGGTGGAGGCAAGAGGATTGAAAGTTCAAAGCTATCCTCAGCAAAAGTGAGCACTAAGCAACTCAGTGAGACTCTGTTTCTAAGTACAATACAAAATAGGGCTGGGAATATGGCCCAGTGGTCAAGTGCCCCTGAGTTCAATCCCCAGTACCCCCCCTCCACACACAAAAAAAGAGACTCCTTAATCCTTAGTTGAAAAATGAAGCACTAAATGAATGGAGCTGATCACTGAACAAGTAAATTTTCACAAGTATTGTTCATTTCAAGAGATATTTTAATCAAATTATTTCTAGATATCTTTTAGAGATTATTTCATTTTATTTTCTTTCCTTTTTAAAGGTGAGCCGTTCATCTTTGCTAATAGAACAACCTGTGAAAAAAAGGCCTCTTTTGGATAATCAGGTGATAAATTCTGTTTGTGTTCAGCCAGAGATACAGAATAATACAAAGCATGCAGACAATTCTTCAGACACAGAGATGGAAGACATGATTGCTGAAGGTGTGTGGATTCACTTAAAATACCCTTTAACTTGTACTGTTTGAAACAGGACATGGAATTTTACTCTTCACAGATTTTTACTTAAAATTTTGCATTTTTATTCTCATGCAGTACATTATTTGACTAAAATAATGAGAAAGCTAACCAGACTTGTAGTGACCAAATAATTAAAATAGCAAAATTGGTGTTAATTTGTACAATGTGTTTGACATTTGGGAAAAGTTTCATCATGTATAAGAGAAAATAATTGTAAGTTTTGCATCAAAGCAACAAATTCTTCTTTTTCTTTTCTTTCTTTTTTTTTTTTTAAAGGAAACTTAAGTAATAAATACCATTTTACTGAATTTGCTTAAAAATTTAGAGCTTCTGGGTTGTTTGGCTTTAGACTTTCCATATTTTGATGTGTGAAACCAGGTTGTATTGAAATTATATGATGGATATACTCTTCAATCAATAGGTGATTACATTTGTTCAGAGATAAAAATATCACTAAACCTCCTTACTGTCAAAGAATCTTCTAAAATAGACTTTATTTCAATAATGAATAGTCCATGGAAGTCAAACTGGTATTCAGAATGACTGAAGGAAAACACAAATAAACACAAAAGTTTTGTTTTTCTTTTTTTTTGTTTTTTCAAATGAGATTCTGAAGGTCTACTTCTGTTAGACTATTATCCTTAAGCCATATATCTCTTTGGTATCTCCCCCTCTCACCAGCAAAAACAGTTTCTTATTCTTCATAAGGTATTCTAACCTGTTATCAGGTATTATATATTGTTTTGTTAATGTTAAAATAACAACTTTGAAGCAAAGGTTTGGCTGTAGCCTGATCTTGGAACAACTGAAGAAATGGACTCTTTAGGGTTGTATCAGTAGTGTAGTGGTTAAGTGAGAGGTTCTATCTCTGTTATAGGCTTTTAAAAGTTCGATCAGGTGATAAGCATAACAAATATAATATATTTGGGAGTTCTGATATTATGTCCCAGGAATGTGTTGGTAAGATGTTCTGACTGGGACACAACTGTGTCACAACTGTCAAAATCATCCCTAAGTCATTGGAAGGAATGATTTTTGTGTTTTTTTTTTCAATTGTGTTGAGACTGTTTCTTCCTTATTGCAAATAAATTGATGACTTCTGCTTTTGAAGTCTAAAAGTCTAAAGACTTTTAGAATTTCCTTAAAATAGCCCCTTAGGGGCTGGGGTTGTAGCTTGGTGTTAAGAGTACTTGCCTAGCATGTAGGGTTTGATCCAGAAAGGAAGGCGGGAGGGAGAGAAGAAAGGAAGGATGGACAGATGGACCACTTTTTAGTTCATGATTTTAATAGATAATATATTTGGAGTCCCATAGTGTCAAATATTATTTCAGAGTATGTTTTTCTTACTGCCTTAAACTGGGATAATGTGAGTGGCTGAGCTTACAGAGTACATGCCCTTCATATTTACATTTTTAGAGTCCCTGACTTCATCTTAATAAGTCTTTATTAGAGTAATATAGAAAGAGTACATATGAGCTCATAGCTAAATGATTTAGAGTGCTTTTTAACTGCATATTTTATATGACTTAGCATAGGAATTTTGATGCAAGAAAATGGTAACATATGATAGATTTACAAGTTTAACAGGTTTCACTAAAGTATTTCTTGAGCACTTATACATCTTATTACTTTTAGTTCTTATGCGAAAAATAGGAAATGGAACTGTCACATTTTTCATGCCTATTGTCTTTTGGGCACTCATTTGTTACTTAAGTTCTTTGGGAAAGGTATTGTAAGCTCCATTTTACAAAGAGAAAACTGGGTCATGAAGATTAAATTGTTTGCTTATAGTGACTGCTTCTGAGTATTTGAGGATTTAGTTTGGAAGCTTCTGTAGGTTCTGGCGTATGATCTAAAGAAGAAAATGTAGTGGTAGAAGGAGAACATTCTACTTTAATGGGAAGCATGATGAAAAAATTATCAGCTGTTGAGAATTATGAAACAATTTGTGATTTTTTTAAAGGCTTAATCTGTTATTTTTTATTAAATACAATATAACTAATAGGAACTATTTTACAATTAGATATATTTATCTTTATATGTTCTATCATATATCCTAGCAGCTCTTTTAGAGTTATTTTTATATGCTCTTTTAATATCAGACATATCAAAATTGCACAATTATGAAGTTATCCTCATACTTTCAGCTAGAATTAAGGCTTCCCTACTATATATCTCCACAGCACAATTTTTTAAAATTCACATCTCACACAGTTTTTTGAAAGTGTTCTTTGTGGAGGATAGTGATTATGTCTTATTCATCTTTGTTTCTCATAGTGTTTATAAAGTTTTCATATTTTAGACATGCTGGATCTTAGCAAAATGAACCTTTAAAAATGTTATACTCAGGCTGGAGATATAGCTCAGTTGGTAGAGTGTTTGCCTCGAATACACAAGGCCCTGGGTTCCATCCCCAGCACCACAGGAAAAAAAAAAAAAAAGGAAAAATGTTATACTCATTTATATAGAGAAAAAGTCCATATGATTTTTATGTGGAAGAAGGAGGTGGTTGTTTTTGAAGGCTTTGGCTCTGCCAGAGGGACTATGAATTAAAAAGCAATGGACTATTGGTCTAGTAGCAGTATTTAACCCATATAGAGCTAAAAAAAAATATGCTACAATTAACTTTTTGGAACTTTTCCCCTTTGTTTTATTTTATTTTATTTTTTTTAGAGACATTAGAAGAAATGGACAGTGAATTGCTCAAGTGTGAATTCTGTGGGAAAATGGGATATGCTAATGAATTTTTACGGTCAAAACGATTCTGCACTATGTCATGTGCCAAAAGGTATTTCTGTATTCTTGAATTCCCTAAAGGACAAGACAATAACCGATGCCAAAAAAAAAAAAAAAAAAGCCTCTTGTATAATTTAACAATAGAAAATGTAGATACTGTAATTCAGAGGAATAATTAGGCATTATATGGAGCTACATTGGTATTACGTTACTAGATTACTATGTTACTAGATTATGCACTGTGAAAATTACCTATTCATAACACTTAGAATCAGTTTTACAGTGTAATATAATATTGAAGTATACCGAAATGGTTTTTAATCATCCACTTGTTTTACCAGTACTGAAATATTTAGATTTAATTTATTTTAAAGTGCTTTCATTTGTTTGAATCATATTCTATACATATTTTAGGTTTGTTATCGAATAACAACAGATAAGTTCTCCGCATTGTTAACATCAGACAGAAAAATATCTTTTCTAAATTAATGTTTTCAATGGTAATTATTAGACAAAGAGTATTAATAGCAAAAAAAAAAAAAATGTTTCTTCATTAAGCTTGTAACTCCTAAGTGTAGTATTATCAGTACCCACTCTGATATTTACCACTAAAGTTGATTTTATGCACAGGTTGGTTATTTTGAAATTCTCTGTTCAAAAAAGTAATTCTCTTAAATTCCCTCAAAGAATTTAAGATCTTAATTTATATACACCAGTGAATTTCTTTCTTGAATATTTTATTTTGTATTGGTGCCACCAAAGTATACATAGTAAAACTCTTATTACTTGTTTCCTCCAAAAATGGATTATTTCACTTGTCAGTCTATTATTCAAGTAGTCTTTCATATTGATAGATCTGTAATAAAATTATATTGAACTCATGTTTTAACTTAAATTCTTAATTTGCACATACCACAACATGCAAAGTTTTTCAGAAATTTGTTTCTACGATAATTTTGTTTTATTCTTTCTAGGAGTGAATTGGCAAACTCACCCAGGACAAGTTCTTCCTGCTGCTTATATATTTCATGACATGTGAAAATTACATGAAATTCAAATTTCAGTGTTTAAACTGAAAAGTTTTATTGGAACACAGCCATGCTCATTTAGCAGTTTCTGTGGCTGCTTTCACACTACAGTGACAGGGATGAGTAGCTGTCATAGCCCATAAAACCCATGGCCCTTTATAAGAAAAGTTTATCAGTCTTTGTTCTAGGGCTCTGAGATCTCCTAGATGGTGTAAGACTCTTTAAAACAGCATCATGCCTTATAAAGATCTGTGTTCAAAAATATTAGGCAGTCTGTGGATATAAAAGAAAAATAAACCAATTTTAAAGAATCAAGATGTCCTTCCAAATTTCCTGACTAGTGAGCACAGTGCATTTGTTGTAACTTTGAAATTCCAACTTTATATATTTTTACTTTGATTTTTATAATATTTAAAAAAATTTACTAACTGCTTGAGATCCTCCCTCTACCACATCAATATCTTTTTTATTAATCTCTCTTCAGAAATTATTACTTGGGAAAATACCAGTTTGAATAGATTCTAAATATTTACTACAATTTTTTTTTTTTTCTGGAACTTTGAATGTTTTTGTTGCTATAAAAATTAGTTGTATTTTATGGAAAGGTTCTCACTATCATGCTGTAATCGGTATCTTTTTATAGGTATCCAGTGTTATATTGAGATGTATTATAAATACACAAATCCATTGACTAATTTGGGCTTTATTTTATGAGGTATTACGTTCCTTAGTGAAGAAAAGGCACTTCCTGATTCATAATTGCACTTTAAGTCATAATTAAACACTAAATGGAGTGTCTCATGTCATCATTTAATATTTTTTTCTCATTTGAATTTCCTAGGTACAATGTTAGCTGTTCTAAAAAATTTGCACTTAGTCGTTGGAATCGTAAACCTGATAATCAAAGCCTTGGGCATCGTGGTCGTCGTCCAAGTGGCCCTGATGGGGCAGCAAGAGAACATATCCTTAGGCAGGTCTGTAGAAACCTTGCTTTAATATACTGTACCCTTTTCAGAAATGGCAAAGAAAATGCAAAATACAATGCTGTATTTTACTTGTACTACATTTTCCAGCTTCCAATTACTTATCCATCTGCAGAAGAAGACTTGGCTTCTCATGAAGATTCTGTACCATCTGCTATGACAACTCGTTTGCGCAGGCAGAGTGAGCGGGAGAGAGAACGTGAGCTTCGAGAAGTAAGAATTAGGAAAATGCCCGAGAACAGTGACTTGTTACCAGTTGCACAGACAGAGCCCTCTATATGGACAGTTGATGATGTCTGGGCCTTCATCCATTCTTTACCTGGTATGTAATTCACCATTTTGACTTTAATGTTTTTCTTGTGTATTGACACTCAGGAATGATGTTAGATCCATCCATATTTTTGCACAAAAGGGCTAGAGAAATCTGCGTGTATGTATAAATTAAATGGCATTTGCTATTGAAGTTTGATCTGTTTCCTCTTGCTTATTCCCTCAGCACAACTGGGTATTTTTTCATACCCCAAGTCGATAAAAACTGACTAGTCCTGCTTCTGTGACACCCCAGCTGGTGAAGATATTAAGGTGCTCTCTTCTCTTCAGTATTAAGGTGCTCTCTTCTCTTCAGTCTGATTTCTCTCGAGAGGTCAGTAGAGAGATTGAATCAGACACTTCTTCCCTTCTACTCTATTTTTCTATTCTATTTCTTCTTATTTCCTATTTTAACCTTTACAAAAATGAAATGAGACTAGTATTTTTTAAACATTTTTGAAAGCTAATAAAGACATATAAGATGATAAAATTTTGGTTTCTTTTTAAAAAATCAAGCTGGTTCTTTTAAAGGAAGCAGCATTCTTTAATTCCTTTCAATAAACAAACTTCAACAGTTGAAATTCAGTTATTGATTCTAATATTGAAGGTAATCTTCTTATTTATGTTTTCCTGTTCTCTCAGTTTGATACTCTTTCCATCAACTTAAGTCTCCTTTTTTCTTTAAAGCAACAATAATCTTCATATCCACTCTCTCCAAGGGGTGGGCAACTAGAGACATCAGTTGCTCATGATGAGACCTGTACTGTGTATATATGTTAAGATGATATATTTATTTTAAATCAGCAAATCTTACTCACTTTGACTTTATGAGTATGGTAAATGAGATTTTAAAATGTTTCCTTTTGGTTTTGTGAATCATATTATTTTTCTTGATTCAAGATTTCTAGGATAATATATCTCATCAGAATTATCTACCAGACTCCTATAAACAAATTATTTAGCTATTATTGCTGACTTTCTGTAAAGGTGACCAAAGTCTCAGAAGAACACTTACAGCTAATGTGGTATGCAAGAAAATATATTTAGAAATAATAATTTTAAAAGCTGCTGCCCGTTTTAACTTACATACAGAACTCTGGTGTTTTATTAAATATAGTTTTTATAAAACTTTTATAAAATGTTAAAATATGGCCATTTTAATAGAAAGATGGAATTGTTTAAAGCAGGTATACTTTTTTCATGTGAAAATTTTAAGCATATGCCTAAGAAAACTAAGGTCTGAGTTAATTGCCCACCATGTGGGTTTATAACCTGCTTTAAACTCAATATACTAGAGGATAGTGAATCTTCATTGGTTGTGGTTTTAGTATTTAATAAAACAAATTTTACTCTTGGGACCAGTATAGTTGTCTTAGGAATTACACTGGAATCTGTACTAATCATCTGGGGTTGCACTTTGATTCTATCATCTTCAGTAGTCCTCATCTTCCAGTTGGAGCATGTGATCTATTTGTGAGTCTCCTTTCTCATTTGGGAGAAATACTCCTTTCCTTTTGGAGAGGAGAGTTGGTATACATCCTCAGGAAATTAATTGCCCAAATAATTAATAAATAATAGCTATTAATGATTCTTTTATCACTTAATGTGGTTTTTTGGGCTAATTTTCCCAGGATCCATTTGCTCTATTGCTACTATTGGCTGCTTTATTAGAACATAGGCCAACTTTTTGTGTCCCATTCGTGCTTCATTTGAGGTTAAAAAAAATAAATTCAACTTATTACTGCTAAACTTGGGGTGCTTGTCAATGAGTTAATCTAGGCACTTAATTTTGTTCTGAGTTCTTTAGAGAATATTATCCTTAAAAGGAGACTGCCTTATAATTTATAATTTCTTGGTGCTGTTTTAGAGTCTACTTAGTGTAACTCTTTCCCTTTACTGATAAAATGGGAGTATTTCTTGACTGCTTCGACAGGCCAGATAAGCAGCTTATTTCTGTGATCAATTACCCCACCTTTCTTAAATTTTTTCTCTGAATAATGCCTGTAGCTTAAGGTAAATCTTATACCAGGACATGCCTGTATCCTCTGGGCTTTGTGAATTTCCTTTTGAGTCTCTTTTACTTCATTCAGGACTGTTTATTTTCTTGGAGTAGTGTCTTCCCAAGCTTTTCTCGTGGTATGAACATGCTCATCAATTTTGTAATCTCTTGTATTGTTTCTTTCCAGGGTAGACTTCCTTCCCCTTCTAATCAGGGCACCTCTATTTTACTGCTAAGGTTTTCTGTTCTTTTTGTATATCATCTTGTTAAACATTCTGTTGGGACTGTTTGTGCTTACATGTAGTACACACATCTCTCAGAACTGTCACCACAGTTAAAAACTGTCTTATAACTTCTCATGCATTAAAAAGTTCTCTATAAGAACAATTCTTATTTTCAAAAAATTACGTGGGTTATCTTCTTTAACTCTTCCTTGTGTGGTGAATTACCTTTTGAAAAGATTATTCTGTATTATGTGGATCAACAAGATTTCTCTACAAGCATGTAAAATAGGGAATTATTTCTTCAAAGAACGAATATGTAACTGGTATTTTGTTAAACTAGTTTTGAGAGTTGTTTATTCTGTATGAGTGATAAGTGATCTTTTTACTAATCTTACTAATCAGTTTTTATGTAGGGCATTTTTTAAAATTTTGGGTTTAAATGGGGAAGTGATTCTGTTCATTTGTAGGGATCATTTGAGACCTAGTGCAAACGTCTCTGTCCATACTGAGAACTACACTGTGCTTGGTTCCCCTGAGGTAAAAGCAGAGCCGACTGGTTGCTTCAGTTGGTGTATATTTGTTGCACATTACTGAGTTCCAGCCATTTTACAGAAGTATAAACTAATGTTGGAAGCTCACAGAACTTCAGTTCACTGTATCTTGAGCACTTGGTTTTTTAAATGTTTTTCTACACTGAGTTTTTAGAAGTGTATTCACTTCTGTTCCCCTGTTTTAAAAGGCACTTCATTTTCTCATATTTATACTAATGTAACTATATTTTTTGGAGGTTGGCGTAAGTTAGTTTTGATCCAAGTTTCTCAAAATATACTTTCCTAACGATGCTGTTTTCCAAATCACTTTTTGTTCTTTATTATTTTACCAATACTTTTACTGTCCACCTATGAAAAGACATCTGATCTGCAGAGGAATCTCTCAATGCAGAGGAATAAGAGCGTGCTATATATTTTCCTTATGGAGAACTCATTTCTGTTCCCAAATATAGCTCTTATGGTCCTCATTACTTCTCATTGCTCCTGTTTTCTGAATCTAAGTTCTATCCTATCTTTCTCTTTCCTTTCCTGTGTTCTTGTAAGTAAGACTGAAGAGAGAAGAACACTAGTTCTTTCATAAAAAGAAGGATGAAGTCACAACTAGATGCAAGATTAGTCAGTTTTGTCTGCCCAGTTTTGTTGAGAGCTACCTCTGGGAAAAGAAAAGGGGCTTTTCTATGGTGAGTAATCTTTCATCTCTATAGTTTCTTTTAAATGATACATGGGCAAAACCATAAACATTCTGTAGAGGGTACCAAAATGCTGACTTTAAAAAATCTGAGAAATTATTAAAATAGAGAAATTGAAGGGCTGGATGCCGTATAGGAAATAGTAAAGATAAAAACAGGACACAGGAAAAGAAACAACCAAGAGAAAAGGTGGCCTCACAGCTGAACACAAAAAAAGTGATTTACTCTTACAGATAATTCTTCTGTAGTAGAGTATATTTTTGTTTATATTTTATTCACTTATTCAATTCTTCACTCATTCATAAATATATGTATTTTGCACCTAAAATGCTTTGCGTTTGGTGCTGACGTTATTAAGGTAGGAGACATCTCATACAAACGAGAGGATGATATATTTGCAATAGAAGACAAATATTATTCTAACAAATTGTGATGGCCAAGGTGTAATGTAATCATTTCTATTCTTCATTATCTTTTAGTTTTTTTTTTAATTTTAATTTTTTTTTAGTCATACATGACAGCAGAATGTATTTTGACATATAATACATACATGGAATGTACATACGTCTTTTTGTTTTTGTATTTTCTCTTTGAATGCTAATTGAGTAAAATAAAAACACTTTAAAGTTGTTAAGTTTTTAGTTAATTTTCATTCTTTCTTCTTGGCTTCATCATTCATTTCCTAACCTATTGGTTTCTTTACCTGTAATACGGAAGTTACTGAGTAACTTGGATGTGCAAAAATTTGGCTATATACCAAAAACATTTGAGGCTCAAGTGGACACTAGTATTGTTACCTGCTAAAGCATCTGATTTAAACTGAGTTAAAATATTCGTTATTTGTCAGAAGATTGGCATGGAAGTTCATAATTTCAATGAGAATGTGTTTCTTAAGATTTAAGGTTGAAATTATAATTTTTTTATACCTTTATTTTTTTATGTGGTGGAGGATCAAACCCAGTGCCTTGAATGTGCTAGGCAAGTACTCTTCCCCAGCCCTGAAATTATAATTTAAGTAGCATATTTCAGCAATATTACAATACATTGATAACTATAATCTCAAGGGATTGGGTCTGTCCTGAGTGAACAATATTTCAGAGATACTTGGCAACAAAGATTATAATTTAGAATAAGATACAAATGATAATGAAAATGGTATTCTGATACTTAAGAAAATATTTCCAGATTATCATTTAAATAGCAGAACATTATATTTCTTTTAAATTTTTTTTTTTTTTGGTTGTAGTTGGATATAATATCTTCATTTTATTTATTTTTATGTGGTGAGGATCAAACCCAATGCCCCGCCTATGCCAGGTGAGCGCTCCACCACTGAGCCACAACCCAGCCCCAGAACATTATATTTCATTCCTCTGTACCTATATGTGAAGGATATATTATACAAACCTCATGAGATGTATCTGCTAGTTAATCCAAGCATGTGTGGCATGCTTCAAGGTGATTGAGACCTTTTTATGAAGGAAACGTTATGATTACTCTGTACATTTTTACCTCTATTTTTAGAGCAAGAATTCCAAGGAAGTCTCTTTACACAGATTTTGAATTTTTATTTTCAGAATGCCAACAAATACTCTCTTCTTCAAGGATGAATCCCAGGCTACTGTATATAAATTTCATTTGTTTATCAACTTGTATTTCAGATTCTTAGACCCAGTGAGAGTATAGCTATTGCTGTTAGGAATTATGTCTAGTTGTCAAGTATTTAATTCTAAACTCTGTCCTCTGATTAAATTCCAGGTTGTCAGGATATTGCAGACGAGTTCAGGGCACAAGAGATTGATGGACAGGCCCTTCTCTTGTTAAAAGAAGACCATCTCATGAGTGCAATGAATATCAAGCTAGGCCCAGCCCTGAAGATCTGTGCACGCATCAACTCTCTGAAGGAATCTTAACAAGAACAATAAGGCTTTGATATAACACCAGTTTTACTCTTTTTTAAACAGACTTGTAAGGTAAAGGCCTAAGTTGGCCTAGAATATTACACTTATGATAGATGGCCAAGCACACTGGGAACTCCACATCAAGTGTTGACATTTCTTCTACAATATAATTATTCATCATACATTTTCATGATTAGTCAACATTGGTAAAATTGATTTTACAGGTTACATGCAACATTGAAAAAGCTGCTATAAAGGGCCATGGTATTTTTCAAAGAAACATGTTATGCTAGATAATTTTTAAAAGCGATGTTTATCATTAATATAAAGAATTCTTTTGAAAGTAACTGGATGATTTACACTTCTCTTTTGATTCACTTTTCTCATACATTTTTGTACTCTATTCATTCTCTAAAGGTTGTCATAAAGATATGGAATGATTTAGGAGTCCAATGATGGGATCATATGCATTGAAATATCAGTTTGCGTTCTTAAAAATGTCTTTAACAAGTGCTCTAAGAAAGGATTGTGTTCTAGCATAAATGATACTGATCTGGAGGTCAAAAGAGTTGATTTCTATTTCAGATAATTTGGCTTGCCTGACAAGTTTTCCTCTCAGAGTTTGTACATTTAGAGCTGTGCCTCTTGATAGAGATTGGTTTGCTCTCCAGGGAACATTTGCCAACATCTAAAAACATTTTGATTGTCACAGATCAGAACTGAGTTTGGGTGAGGTTGCTACTGATGTCTAGTAGGAGGCCAGAGATGTTACAAAATGTCTTACAATGTGTAAGCCTACCACAACAAAGAATTATCTAGTAAAAAATGCCACCAGTGCCAAGGTTGAGCAGCGCTGATGAGGAAGGAATAAAAAATGTTAATTCTTTCACTCAAAGGAACATTTTAAAGAGATGGCTCATAATGAGGAAACATGTGTAATGGAAGTATTATTCAGATAGCATTAATGTTCTGAAGTATTTTTCCAGTTTATTAAGCATAATAGAAAAAGATAAATCCATAAAATTGGTCTGTCAAATAAAGACTAGCTTACAATTTGACACTCAGTACTGATTCATATTAGTTATCTTTCTTATCTCTGTGCTGCGCACTGATGAAGGCATGATATAATTACACTTAAGAACCAGGGCACCATTTTCTGGCAAGGAAGCTTTGGGTGGATATGTGATTGCACTTTGGATTTCTTCTAGTATTGAACATGCACATTCCTTTTTCCTTTACTAAATCTTCGCATGCTTCCTGCAGAATACTTAACAAGTGATTTCTTTTGGATGATCAGATCTAACTTAAAAAAACTATGAAGCAAAACTTTTTCACTAACTTTTCAGTTAGTTTTCTATAGAACTAGGACACTAAAAAAATTGTGGAGTCCTGACAGCTTTATAGTCTTGGGTGTCAAATGTTTTATTTGAGAAGACTGTGAAAGTTTCCGTCATTTCCCATATCTTATCTTTTACATGTGATTGAAGGAAAATACACTGATATTTGGCCACGAAGTTCATTAAGTGAAAACAGAGAGTCCGTGAGTTTCAGTCATTTCACTGCTCTTTTCAAAAAGATTGCGTTGAGCTAGTAAAAAACTAAAGATGTCACAAGACATCACAGATATTTATCTTTTGGCTTTGTGTACATTAGAAAATGTTGATTATTTTTATACAAAAATATAGCGGGTAATTTTTTTAATCTTTAGATGCCTCTTGTTTGAATGTATGCTTTGTGGGATTCTTTGTGTAGTTGTTTTTAAAAAAGATGTTTACTGATAGTCATGTGTAGGGTTAGAATGTGTAATATAATGGAAGGCTCATGTTCCAGACCCACAATAGCTTATAGTCTATGTTACATATTTCTTTGTATCACAGTTTTAATTATTGGATTAAAGTTCAAGGAAAGGTAGGTACTCTACAGTTTTCGTTTATTAGTAGTTAATCATCAGGACATAATTGTGATGTGCTTTTCCCCTCATCTTGCAATTTCAGAACATAAACATATGCTAAGCAGTATTAAGAGATTGTCCATGTATGGAGGGAGGGAGGCACAAGGGAAAATCTCCCCTGGAATTAAAACTTTATTGTAGTTAATCCACAGTTAATATAAAATTGATTTTTCAGGGATAGCTCCTCTAGCAATAATTATTTATCTCCCATAACTATTTTGTTTATAACCTTTAAGGTATTAACTTTGAACTATGTTGAAAGTTCCTTTTATTTTCTTCTTCTACTAATGTAAGTTGTTCTATACTGGAAAACCCCTGTGCCCAGAGGAGTTTCTGTTGGAGAACACCTACTTATGGTCCTTGTAATTCTGTTGTAACCCACTCAAAACATACCTAGAAGATAAACTTGCTTTTTTCAAGTGAGTTGATTTAGAAATGGCTCATCTGTTTATCAACTGGTAATTCTCCCATTGATGCAGCAATTTCTTTCTAGATGATTTAGTCTTCTTAATTTCAAACCTTCTTATAGATAATGGATATATATGATACTGATCGTCCACCTCTCCTGAAGTTTAGGCAGCTTCACTATGATATATGTGGGGAGAGTGCTATTGTTTTCATTTCCTTTCATATTACTGAGTGTTTTAGGGTTTTGACTAGGGAGAAGGAATAATAAGCAAAAGGGAACATGGGGGATTCTTCCTATTTTTGCTATCTAAATTTGCATTTTTTAACTTCTTTAAACTGTTGCACTCTTTTCCCATTGGGGGGTGGGGGGAAGACCATAATTTTGAAATGTTAGTTGCTTTAAGCTTTGTGTTCCTAGTCAAAAACCTTGAAAGAGCTGGTTTGTAAAAAAGTTATTTTTATATGACATTAATATGCATCAAGCTTTGTGTAGACATGTGTAAAACACAGCTCTGCAGCTTTGATATAATCAGTACAGTAAAAGAGTTGTTGTCATTCTTTGGTGGCATATCACTTTTTAAAATTTGCTATGGAGTCCTTTAAACAGAACTTTAAGTCTAAGTTTAAAGGCCACCTAGGGATAGAGAAGGCAGAATGGAATTAAAGAAATGTTAATCAACAAGCTTGAGAATGGGAAAGCCACAGACCAGGACATTGGCCTTTTTGTTATTGTTGTTGTTAGTTTAGCCCATTTCAACACCGAACAGATTGTTTTACTTTTGATGTTAATGTTCACATTTTACCTAATTTAAGAAGGAAATGATATTTTAAAAGGTATTCCACTGTTTAGTTTTGCTTTCTGGTATGCAGAAACACCCAGAATAATACCTAAAACAGGTATTATTGTGACCATGCCTTTGAATAATTTTTTGACATACCTAATCATATATTGTGTGAAACTATACCAGACATTTATTCACAAAGATAAGTCTTGGATTGATCTCTGTCTTATAGTGCTCCAGCTCTCTCTGACATGTTCAGGTAAATTTCTTAAAGCCTAGTATATTTTCAAGGTTTGGGTACCACCAAGGCACAAATATAGTAGGGAAACAATGGAGTTGTATAGTCTTAGCCTATGCTTTTATGTGTATTAATTTTGGAAATTATTATAGATGTAAGTGAATGAAGCTGACATTACTACTGCGTCCAGTGGGTAAAATCCCTGACTGGAAACCCTTAAAATATTTTAAAGTTAAGTTTTCAACCAGAAGATGCTGGTTATAATTTGTGGTTCAAAGACTCTCATCCTTGGTGAGTGGCAGAAAATACATGTTGCCTACTGGTACTGAGCATTAGCTGAGGGCCTGAAAGGGCTTCACCTCACTTCCTCCCCTAAAGCCTCCAGCCCCCACCAAAAACTGCACAAAAACTTTTTTCTTAGACCTCTGCTTGAATACCCGGAGAGGATTTTGTGATGGGGCTGATTATAGAGGTAGCTTGGGAGGCCTAATGTCTAACAGTTATGTTTCAGTAAAAACTTTGGGGCAATGGAGACTGGCCCTTCTATGCAAATTGTTTGCTCAGTCTGTTTCTCATGCACAAAATGTGAAACTAGTTGTGTCCTAAAGGTTTTGAAGGGGCAGGGGAGGGGTTGGAGGAAGAAGTGGAGGAAGAGACCAAATAGGAAGAGAAGCATTCCAGAACCAAAAGGATCTAGAAGAATTTACATTACATGAAATCATCTAATGTAAAGGTGGCCTTCATCAATAGTTCAAGATAATAAATTATAATTATTTGATTCCAATTTTAGCAGGTTTGTTTTAGCCTTTCATCTCCATGAACAAAACACCCGACATTAACAACTTAGGAAAAGTTTGTTTTGCAGAGGTTCTGTCCATGGTTGGCCAGCTCCATAGCTCTGGGCTCAAGGTGAATTAGATCATCATGGCAAAAGGTGTGTGGTGGAGAATAGCAGCTCAGACAAGGCAACCAGGAAGCAGAGAGAGCTCTATGTTCACCAGGGACAAAATATGAACTCTGAAGGCACAACCCCAGTGACCTACTTCATCCAGCCCACTCTGCCTGCCTATAGTTACCACCACCCAGTTCATGCATATCAGTGGATTAGTCCACTGACTAGGTTACTCCTCTCATAATCTAACCATTCTTGCATTGTCTCATGCATGAGGTTTTGGGACCTCGTATCTAAACCATAATAGGGTTCTGGTTTCTTTATTTTTTCCCCTTCTCCTCCTTTCTTTCTTTGTTTTTTTTTTTTTTTTTTTTTTTTTGGTAGTGGTGGTAATGGAGGTCCTGAACCCAGGACCTGAAACTATCCCTGAACTACATCCTCCAGCCTACTATCATTTTTACTGGGTTAAAATTTGCCAATAATCAAACTCACTGTTTATAGCACCAATGATACGTACACTAGTAATTTTTGATTTCTGAAGATGAAAGCTATTATAGTTGAATATGTCAGAGATTCAAAGGTTCATTGTTATAACTGAGTGGCCAGAATTATGGAGTTTTCGTTTTCAGATACTACAGTTGAATCACCTTTGTAGACTTGTTATAAAGAAAGGTATTTTAAGATAGCATTTTGTGGTTGTGTCTCAGTCTAAGAATTGGGTGACTAAAAGCTATAGTTTTCTCTTTACTAGTCTGAATTTCATTAAACACAAGCCTACCTCTATTTCTTTGGTGCAAAGCAGAATGGATTGTGACATGCACTATTTAGCCCACATTCATTGATACATTTTATAAATTTATTTAGAACATCTGATGAAATCAAATCAGATTGTGGTTAAATTTAGATAAGCACAGATATACTATTAGGAAAAATTAAATATGCAATCTTATTAAGATTTAATTTCAACCCATTAAGCTGTACATCTTAAAAAACATTCTTTGGTAACATATCCCTCTTTTCTTTTGTTAGAAGATTATAAAACATGCCCTATAGTTTTCTTCATAGCAGCAGTACAAGCCATTTCTTTGATACAAAATGTTTAAAATTATACTACCTTCTTTGGAAAAAGTGTTTCCTAAAATTTTTTTATAATTTCCAAAGTTTTACATGTTATTTTTAGAGCTTATTTAATCTCTTTTAAATTATACTATGAAAAGTTCTTTCTGAAAGTTGTAGGGCACTAATACAAATATAATCATTACCATCATATTCCAGAGAAGAATGGGGAGTCCCTTGCAATCATTTTTAAAATCTTAAATGTAGCATCTTAATGCAAGCTCTTCATTTTACTCAGACACATGCACATAACCCTTGCAAATGTCATGTTCATGGAACTTTTAGAGAACTATCTACCACAAATGCTATTTTTTCCCCTTTTTGTAGCTTGTGAACAATTTTATTTTCAGATGACAATTTTAATCAAATGTTAGATAAAAGATACAGAATTAGTTTGGTTAAAGCTTTATACTTTAGAATTTTTTTTTTCTACTGCCTTTTGAAAAATATAATTCTCAGTGATACTAGTGATGTTTAGTGAGAATCCATAGAAGAATGTGTTGTTTAAAAGAAGTATAGTAGTGAGTGAATTTTAATTTGGAAAAAATGAACTAATTTTAAAAGGTTCTTATGCTTGCATGGCATAGTTTTAATTAAATGTAAAAGTAATGCAGTAGAATTCTTTTTAAACTGCTAAATTAACTCCACTAATCACCTTAAGGATTGATAGCTGCCATCATTTATTGGTTGAAAAGTTAAACTTCATAGCATGTTGTTGAGTGTTAAATCTATGTTTTGTGGAGCTTTAACTGAGGGCAGTGAAAAAGCTCATGCTTATATGAGAGGTGGGTGCTCTTGAAGTAAATATCAACCTATTTTAGAAAGGATTTTTTTGTGCTTCAAGTAAACTAGAGGTGTCCAATGTTTAATTTTTTTCATAATACTTAAAAGTATTCTTTTTCTTTGGATAGTATTAAAAATGAGTAGAAATGAATCATATACTTACTAAATTAACATGACAAGCGAACCTAAAACACACTGGCTTGGAGACTGAGTTTTGACTTAGTTGCTTAATTAGCTGTGTGTGCACTTTGAGGTAACTGTTTTTAACCTCTTTGAATGTGCAATGTGGTGCCTACACCCTTCAAAATGTTGATTTGGATTTAAATCATCATTTGTATACCTCTCAGCTCTAAAGTTACTATGGTAGGCCACAAAATGAGATATTTTTAAAGTTGCTCCTACTCAGTTCTTTTTTGCTTTTTAATGGTTCATTTGATACTTAATTAGTAAACATCCATTTTCTGTGTCACTTACTTGCTCTAAGGATTGAGGTAGAAAATTCATACAGACAAGGAAATGAGGACCTTTTTCTAAATGCTACCTATTAACTACTGAACATAAAAACACATATGCATATTGACATTCATGCACTTTCATCCATTTAGCAAACCATCTGAACACTTATATTGTTTATGGAATACACGATGAAGAAACTAGTAAGTAAAATCTTCCTGACCAAAGTTCATTGTGGCTTAAATGAACAAGGTCATAGTTAGTACTAATTAATGTACTGAATGTAAACTTGGAACTGAGGGGGAATTTTTTATGCTTTGGGTAAAAGACTAGATTGCATAAGGGGTTTGAATCAATCACAGTTCTTGTAACATTTCACATACTGCACATCAACTGACCATGCACCTGATAGGCTATAAAATTAAGGATCCTTTAAGAGCTTATATTTTGAGATTGTTGTGATATCTTTATTTGGTGCTTGAGTGTTTCAGAATTGTGGCTGTACATGGTGAGTGGTAGAACAATGATTTACCGCACATTTTTAACTACAAAGGCTTTCTATACAGTATTGACACTGTAGCAGTTTTTCAAAATTGAAACGTCTCAAAGGAAATCACCAGAATAGTTTTTTTTTAAGCTAGAAAGATTACAAACAATAAATCTTGTTGTATTTTAAGGGTATTACAGATAGCTACCTTTTAAAAATATATGAAAATTGGTAATAAAAAAGCCTATGTATTGCATAATAAAAGGGTGCCCTTTAAAATGCAGAACTGCTGAAGAAAAAACAGTTCCCTGCTTGAACTGGCAAGAATCCAGGAAGTAAACATGGAATGGGAAAATCAATTAATTGGGTAAAATTCCCTTGTCACTCTGGGATTCTGTGAATCACATTGTAATTCTAGCTTTAAACATTAACATCAATTGACAGTAATATTCTCTATAAAGATATAAAACGAAAAACTATTTTAAACTTTTATGCATCAGAGTTGCAGCTTTTTAAAGCAGGAAAATGTCCAACAAAGTGCTCATTTAGAATCTACATTAGACTCTTTCAAACTGTTCAAAAACACTTAACTTCTGAAGTAGCCAGATAGCCTGGGTTTTGTAAATTGTTCCATGAAACTAGTTAAAAATTACTTTTAAATTTTTAATTTTTAAAGTGTTCCTAATTTTTCAGATATTTTATGCTATTGAAATGCCTACTATGTATGTACTTTAATATATGTATATATGTTCTTAAATTTTAAAAAGTCAACTGAGTGCAAAAGATGGTGCAATTTTGGATATATAATTCCCACATTGTTTGATTAGATTCCCAGTCACCTCATTTAAAAAAAAAAACAAAAAACAAAAAACATTTTGTTTTTCCCATAAAGGGGGAAAAAGTCAAAGTTACAAAAAGTATCTTCACAGTAAGGATTACACTTGCAGTGAAGGCTGGATGTTACAGACGCCAGTGCCCACGGATAGGTGCTGCTGGGGTGGAAAGGCTTTTCAAGGCTCTTGATTAAATCAGTACCTTTTGACTTGTTGCTCATTAAATTTTTGTTAATTTAACAAAGGCAAATTGTTGTGATAACTTGTTTCAAAAATGTTGATGCTTCAAGTACATTAACTAGTTTAATTATTTCTTTTGGTTCCTCCAGTTGTTCTAAAATAGGACTTTCATATTATCAAAACCTCAAAAGATGACCTACCTGGGATGAACTGAACAAATATCACCAAGGGAGAAGGAAAGCATTTTTTATCTTTACTGAAAAAAATTGAGATTATATATAGATGTATTCTTACATTGGACATTGTAATAGAGTCCTCCTTATGGGAAATGGAATAGTTTTAGCACTCTTAGCATTAGAATTCCTAGACTGGTGTCTATAGCTACAGTTTTAAAATGTATAACCTGAAAATGAAGTTAATTTTGCATTATAAGAGCACACCATGATCTATGTAAAAAGTGTTCATTTGGTGTATTTTTTTAAAAAAAAGAGAAAGCACTTTCATATTAACAAGTAGCATGTGTATGAATTTTAGATTTTCCTGTTGTGTCTATTCAGTGAAGTAAGATTGAGCATTCAAATGTTTGTTGATGGCAACATTAACTATTAAATGAAAGCACCTTATACTCTGCTGCTTAAATTTGCTTGTAATTGCACCTTTGTTAAACCTGCACATTTTCACATAGAATGTTGTTGTAACATTGCTTCATGTGGGTCTGGATAGAAGATAGTGGGCCTGCAGGATCATTTATTTATATTGTTTATATTACAATAATATATTGTAGACCATTGTAAGTTCATTTCTTTACAAATAAAAGCCTCTTCCATTTGGCTGGTCTATTGAATTCTTTTTTCTTTAAGCTTATGCGATATGGGGAGAGATTGTAAATAGTTTAAATTCTGATTTGAAATCTGCAAAGAGTATAGTTGTTACTAGTTAAGCTCAATATGTTTAAAAGTATTTCATTTCTACATTATGGCCAATTGGAAGACAATATATATATATTCAGAGGAAAAAGTAACAATGAAATAAGAAGATCCAGGTTTAGACCTTTCCAAACCGTTTAAATATATACCCTATTCACTTGAAAAAAGGATTACTTCAACTGAACTTTGGATACAGTTGGCTATTTGCATTGTTTTTTTAATAGAACATGTGATTTTTATTCCTGAATTCTATTTTTAAAAAATATTTTTAGTTATAGATGGACACAATAACTTATTTTTTTGTTTGTTTGTTTTTTAATGTGGAGCTGAAGATCGAACCCAGTGCCTGACACATGCTAGGCAAGTGCTCTACCCCTGAATTACATCCCCAGCCCTGTATTCTCTTTTTTTAAATTGTACCATGCAGTATAGTGGTTCTCTTCTGTTCAGTGTCTGCTGTTATCAGACCGTGATCACAGCAGTGTGTATATGATTCAAGTCAAGCCAAATAGTCATTTCCTGAGAGTTTACAACTGAAACTAGGAGGTGCTTTAAACTGGAATAAAAGTCCTTGGCTGTTGGCAGCCAGAATGCCCACCGACAAAACTGGAGAAATTCCTAGTATTTTACATCATCATCTTGCCAATAAAGAGCTTTTTCTTAGAATAGCTCAGATTGGGTTTTGTATTACAGGTGGAGTATTCCTTATCTGAAATGCTTGGGACCATAAAGCTTTTCAGGTTTTGGTATATTTGTATATACTTTACTGGCTGAGCATCTCTAATTCAAAACTCAAAAATACTCCAAAATTCAAAACTTTTTTCAGTGTTAATGCTTAAGTTTCAGAATTCAGAGCATCCTGGAGTAGGGGTGTTCAACCTGTACTCAGAATTCAGTTCCTAAATTCCCAGCAGCATTTTCCATCTTGTCCTCCTAGGTGGCTAGTGGTAACTAAATAAATGTGTGCTCAAGGAAATGATTTTCTTTACTATGGCACCTCAAATCTGTAAGACACTGCAATTTCAACTGAAAAATAATTAGGAAATCACATTCTTTACATTTGACTCTAACCATTCTTTTGAAAAACAATGAGTGGGAGCATGAACTCTGGAGCTAGACCTCTAGGTTTGACTCTCAGCTCCCCTAATCATTAGCTGTGTGATCTTAAATGGGTTTCTTAATTCTGATGTCTTAATTTCCTTATCTGTAAAAACGGATAACAATAATACCAATCAGAGAGTTGTTTTAAGAATTAAATCAGTTGCTGCATTTAAAATACTTAAAACAGTTCTTGGCACACAATGCTTCCTAAATCTTTGCTGTTATTAGTGCTCCATAGCACTTGTTTTAGGACATTTTCAAAAAATGGAAAGTAATCCATTTGTAGATCATGAACTCAATGGGTTACAATTAGCATTTGTAAAAAATGACACTAATTATGTATAATGTAGGGATAAATATTTTTATGACACATAAACTTCAGTATGTATATAAATGAATATCACTCCTGATGTAAAAAAATATATATCTTACTATAAATGTGAAAAAAACCCCAATTTTAAAAAATGGTTTAGATTCATGCAACATATATTAGTATATGTAAATGGTGATTAAAGTAGCTACATAGCTTAATTCATAAAGTGAACTGAGATTATTCTGCTACTCACATTGCTTTACTCCAATGGTTCTTAACTGGGAGCTGTTGAGCCCACCCACCAAGGGAGGTTTAGCCTTGTGTAGACATTTTTCATGGTCATTACTGTGGAAGAAGAGCTACTGGCATCTGGTGGGCAGAGGACAGGGATACAGCTAAACATCCTACAATGCACAGGGCAGTTCCCCACAATAGTTATCAAGCCCTAAACCTCAATATTACCAAGAATGAGAAACCCTACTTTACAGTGTGATATGTTGCTAATATGATTATGATTTGATATGCAATTACGTGACATAAATGAAAATGAATCTAGTATTTCATGAAAGAGACCTAGTCACTACTCCCAATTCCCAGGGTAAACAGCTGAAATTCTTTTCCAATTCTTCCAATAATATCTGCATTAAGAACCAATATATTTTTTAAATTAACTAAATTAAAATGAGCCAATCTCCTTCATTAAATTTTATACCAAATCATTTAAATAAAATAGTCTTGACTTTTTTCTCTAAATTTGATAAAATGTTTATTAAAGTTGGTAATGAAATCTCAGATTTACATAACATTTGCATCCACTTTTGGGGGGCAATACAAACATCAATGTGGCCAAACGTTATTATTTAACTTTTGTATTAATAAGCAAATTAATATTTATAGTGTTCCTGAACAGACTTTAAAAACTTCTTGGCTATTTTGTTTTTAAAAGAAAATACTACTTAATAAATATAGCCCTAAAAGATATGCCAAAAAACCTATAAAAAGTTAAGGGGAAAAGAGCTTCTGTTCTTTTTTTTTTTTTTTTTTTTTTTCTGGTATGTCCTCAGTTGCCATTCTTACTAGTACAATTCTGATTCTTGTTGTAGCTGTTTTAATTAGTTTTAACATGAAATGTTAACAAATTATTATTGATATAGGCTTTTCAATTTGCTCAAGATTATTAATTGTAAGTGGAATAAAGCAGCATTTCCAGTTGACGAACGGATCCTTAAGTAGTGTGATCTCTCTTAAGTAAAGCTTGTGACAATTAAACCAATAAATTGCAGCAATGAGAAAACTGTTGACAAAGTACAACCAGGGAATGTTCATCTCAATATATGCTGGAATTTGTACTTTAAATAAAATGATGACAACCTGAAGTAGTACAAATGGCAACCAGGTACCAAGAAAACAGACAATAAGCTTGGACAAGAGTATTTTTTTAGAGTTCACAGTATAACCAGAGTGGGATGAAAAGGGAAAATATAGTATAGTTTCATTCTTATAGGATGTTATCCTAATAGCCTGGATCAAGGTAATAACTTCTGACCAAGAAGTTATAAAAGCCACAAGTAAAATCAGCATCATGGAAAATGATAGCCAGTAACTCTGAATGCTGACATAAAAAGGACACTGGTAAGAATAAACATTCTGTGCCTTCAGGCTTTGGTAAATAGCTGGATCTCCCAAAACATAAACAAGGACTGAAATCCAAATTAAAATAACGATGAAGAAATAAAATAACTTTTGACACTTAGAAGAAAGCTTGTTGATTTTAAAGAAATTCAAGCAATAATCTATACAAGCTATCAGGAAAACTGGGTAATGCAAAAAGCCATAAGTAAAGGAAATAATTTGAGTAAATAGGCAGATGTGATATTTAGTAAACCTAATGCCTAAAAGAATAAAATCTGTGAAATAGGATATAATGGAAATGTTCACCAAAAGTAAAAGATCGACGAATGCTAGTGAAATGCAAAAATATTCCATAAAATTTTGATAGGTGTTTTTTCTTCTCATTCCTAGTGTGAGGATATTCAACAATATTTTCCCAAGTATGATCAAATACAACAGACTATTAACATCTAGAGGATGGTCTGGTTGGTGTAACTGGTACTGAAAAGAACAGTTCTCTGGAGAAAGAGCTGTCATAGTTTTAGTTTTATTTCAAGAAGACCTGCTGAAATGCATGATAAAGCACTGCTGCACTTTCCATCCCTGAAAAAAAAAAAAAGCGAAAAGAACACTTTGATGTTATCTTAATGCTGTATCTGTTTTAAAACCTTACAAAGCAAGCACCTCTTTCCTTGAGGGGAAAAAAAAAACTAAATCATTTTCCAAAATAAGTAAATATATAAATAGGAATTCTATTTCTCATATTATTTACAGGATATAGAACGTGATCAAGAAAAGTTAACGTGAATACACTGGTCATTTTTTGAGAGCCATACATTCCAGAACTCTGATATGTAAACTAAAATTTGTATATAAATGACTAACTTCTATATTAAGTTTTAAAAACTTGTGAAGGAGATAGAGAAATACTTTTACTTACTGAAGCCAAAACACATGCTTAAAATAGTAGCCTGGTGGTAATACTCAGAACAATCAATGATAGTTCTCATACAGTCCCACTGACTCTGAACAACATTACCACCACCCCTTTTTATCTTCCTGGCAGTGAAAGTAAGAGTCTATGCATATGCATCCTTAAGCATAGCAGTTTTCACCTATTTTTAGCTGCAGGATCATCATCTAGATGAATTTTTTCTTTGAAGCTCAAACATTTAAAAACAGATGGTTCAACTGAAAATAATGAGAACATATGAAAAGGAAACAAGGATATTTTCTGGAAATGATCTTTCAGGTATGGCCCCTGAAGAAAATAAAGGGAAAAGAATAAGATTCAACACAAATAGATAACTGAGGACCTTAAGAAGTGGTAGGAAATGCAAAGAAGTAGGAGTTGAGGGTTGGGTCATTCTGCATTTGAAAGCAAGAAAGAAAAGTGATGAAGTCAGAAAGGAAGAAATTAGGAAAGAATGGAAGAAAGGAGATTAAAAAAAAAAAAGGTTGACTCAAAGGTATTTCTGCAATACTGTTTAATCACTGTGTAAAGAGCAAATTCCCACCCCAAGAAACCAAACCAAACCCAAACAATAAGAACAACAAATATCAACAACTGGAGACTGGTTAAAAGTAATATGATATACTATTATGTACCTAATAAGAACATTTCTCGGACTGGGGTAGAGCACTTGCCTAGCACATTCGAGGTCCTGGGTTCGATCCGCAGCACCACATAAAATAAACAACAACAACAAAAAGTATTGTGTACAACTATTTTTTAAAAAATTAAAAAAAAAAAAACATTTCTCTGCTCCTTGCGTGGCTGAGGTAGGAGAATGGCAAGTTCAAGGCCAGCCCAGGCAATTTAGCAAGACCCTATCTCAAAAAAAAAAAAAAGGCTGGGGATGTAGCTCACTGGTGGAGCATACCTGGGTTCAATTCCTAGTACTGCAAAGAATAAAACAACAAACTCCCACAAAAATTTTTTTTCTCAATATAGGAGGAAGATTTAGTTTTCTACTGAAAACTATCCTTTCTATACTTGTTCAATCTTAAGCCTTGTGAATTTTTTAATTGTTAAAAACATGTCTTCATAAAATTTTATAATGTTAAGTGCAGGTTATACAATTATGCAGCAATACATAATCTAATTCTTATAATAAATATACATGCATAAAAATGATTAAAACAGTACACATCAAGTTATTAATATGGTAGAACTGTACTTGTACATTTTCTGTATTTCCTAAATTTTACACGATAAAATAAGGGAATAGTGTGTTTGAAAAGCAAAAGAACTGAATTTGACTAAAAGCAAACCACTGATGATTAAATAAATCCAAAGGAGTAGTGAAAAGCTTGAGGGTAAAGAAATCAGAGCGAAAGAAGGCTGTCAGGTTTGTGGACAGATTGAATTCTTACAGGGCCATAAATCTATTGTCATAAACTTACCGTTTATTATACACAAATGATCCATCTTCTCTCTCTCTCTCACACACACACACACACATATATATGTAAAGATAGTTATAAAAATGCAAAAGAACCAGTCAAGCTAGTACTTTCCTATACTCATTTTTTCCCCTATAGTCACACATACTACAGTGTTTAACTTGACTTAGTCTAAAGAAGTTCCATGCCAGATTTGGAGGTAAAAGGACACAAACAGCTACCCACTTGACAACTTGGCAAATGCCATTGGCCTCATAAGTGGTGTTCCCTGAATAAGAAGCCTAGGTGGAATGATCAACCAGGTGAAGTCTGGGGACCAAAGGAAAAAACAAGCTTCATTTTAAACCAGCTAATGTTGGTTTAAAATGGACTGAGGAAGGGAAATACTATAGGTTCATATTTATAAAGACCATTATTTAAGAGAAGTAAAAAGAATGATCTGCATTATGTGATTTTTATAGCCTCTATTCCAAAATAAAACAAGTAAAGCTAAATAGGCACCATCCAAGGGCTGGTTCCCAAGTTTTCATTTCATCATTGAGTCAGATGGAGTCCACTCGAAGTCCACAAAAGCTGGCTAATACCTACAAAAACCCAATGTGTCTTAGGGGCTCAGAAAGGTCTGCAGAGGAGGAGGATCAACAATGCTCACCAAGAGCCTCTGCGGAAAAGGACCAGATGAAAGAAAAGCCTAAAATAGAGTTTGTAAGGGAATCATAAAATTAGAAGAAAATAAGGTTCAGAGAAGATTTACAACTGGAAGCAATGAAAGTAATCAGAAGGAAGTACACTGGAAAATGAAATTTGGGTCATTTTACAATGGTTCCTGAGTATCAGGATCACAGAAACCAATCAAAATGTTCTTGAATGAGACCAGTTTTATATCTGTACTCCAGTTCTCTAATAACCACCAAAAGTATTCAAAGTTACAATATTTTGTTCTATAAACTGGCTCCCAGAAAAAAAGACAAATCCTTTAATAAGCTACCCATCCTTAATTTTCCCATGAAAAGTATTCATAGTAACTACAGTGATACAGAAATCTATAAAATATGGCTCTTTTCCAACATGGTTTTTAAGTATATTTGAATCAACTCATATGACACCTAAAAAGTTACTGTGGAAATCCTTTACAAGGCATCTTATCTCTTCTACAGGCTTGCTGAGTGCTCTGGCTCCCTTTGGAAGGATTAGACTCTGGGAAACAAACCATTCACTGACCCAATTCATTTTTAACACACCATACTTACTCTCCAAGGGGTCCTCTTGACTAATGGTCCTCCTATTTTATGTTACTGCTGGTCCCTTGAATTCATTGTGCTATACCAAAAGGTTATGTGAGTTAGCCCTGTGTGAAGACAGAAAACAAAACAACCATTAACAGCCATTTCGCAGGGGGATGGGGAAGGGCAGGTACTGGGGACTGAACCCAGGGGTACTTCACCACTGAGCTTCATTCCCAGCCCTATTCTTTATTTTTTGAGACAAGGTCTCAGTAAATTGATTAGGACCTTGGTAAACTGCTGAGGCTGGCCTCAAACTCACAATCCTTCTGCTTTAGTCTCCCAAATTTCTGGGTTTAGACAACAGCCATCTTAATGAATGGAGTCCATCTAGTGTGACTGGCTCCAGAACCCTGCTGAGAAAAACTTTCACCTTCTGAGGGATTATGGTCCATAACTGCTTATGTTCTTAGTTTCTTTCCAGCAAAAAGGAGGGAAGAGAACATTTAATTGAAAGTTCACAAAACACAATGGGAAACGGACACACATAACATGGCATCCGTATAAAGAAATCTTGCTTTACATGTCAGATCTCACCCCCAGGCTCCAGTTAAACCATCAGTTCTGTTTCACTTCAAAATCCTTTGACACTTGCTGCATGCTAACATAAAAAAGTTTTTTAAATGAAAATTTACTATATTTTCCCAAACAAGAAAAATATAGTGAGCAAAGTGGCAAAATTTTACACTTCACATATTGCTTTAGTATCTGGCTTACTGGCAGACAGTGGGATTCTCATTTACACTTCATCAATTAAGATCACATATATTGGGTAGCTTCTGGAAAGTTCTGTGTACATTCATGAGGGCTGCAGAGTAGAAAAAGGTCAATGACTTCAAGTATTAGTGTAATCAAAAAACTGCTACATAACCTCATTTTTATCTAAGAAAAGTTTAACAAAGCCATGTGCATTAAACAGGACTGGACTGCTACTGTGTAGAAAATGGAGCTAGCACTGTCACTGTATTCGTGAGCCTGATAAGTAGAAAGAGCCTGTGGGAGAAATAATATAGTGAGCCTTTTAGTCCTTAGAACTTCTATGTATCTTTTAGTTAGTCCTTAGAACAATCATGAAAAGTCTGTTTCCCCCACCAAGAAGAAACAGACTGGGGTTAAGTATACACATTTTCCCCAAGTGGTAAGTATTGGAGCTGAAGTTCACCCTCAGTTCTGATTTAAAAGCTTGTGTTCTCCAGTAAGACAATCAGGGACCAACTCATAACTGGAAATGTAAAAAAATCCCAATTTACATATGTGAATGAACTTTCTAAAAAAGTACCATCCAAGTTAAGATAATTATGTTAATTACTGATACCCACAGGAGACCATGACTATCAATTTGGATAATAATTTTATTCCTCTAAATATAAACTCTTCAAAATGTGGTTCTTGCTTGATGTTATGTATTCAAATTCAATGGAAAAAAATAACTCTGATAACTCAAGAAACAGATGTTTTGTATTTATCTGATTACATGGTAAACACCCAGTATAGAAAAATTAAGAAAATATAGGAAACAACCTTTAATAAAACGTCATATAATTTACCTGGTACAAAACTGAAATTACACACACAAAAACGTATACAGTGAAATTACCTACCCTACTCAATACTTCAACTTCTCCATCCTTCCTGTTGGCTATCTAACCCAGGTTCCTTTCATAGATAAAACCATTATAACTTGTACATCTTTCCAGAGATATTCTATAAGGACATTTTAAGAAGAAATTTGAAATTTCCATGTTGTTAAGGCAATTATCAAGGGATTCTTGATTTGCCCTTTCCCGAGTCTTATTTACATAATGAAAATCTGATAAAAGAGCCACAGAGTTAGAACACAACCAAGCATTAGTTAATGATCTGCAGACTACAGGAGTCATTTCCACCAAACCAATCATACTACGACTGTCCACAAGGAAGGTCAGTGATGCCAGACAACAAGAAGGGGTCACCTCAGTGTATGGGATAGGTGATTTTCATTTTTCTCCTTTGATGTGGATTATAGTGCTGATCCCACAATGAGGTGACTCATGTGATCAAAGCATCTAACTACAGAAGAGATGCCCTTCAGTGTCCTCTCTTCCTACCATATGGAGTAGACAGACCATACATTCTACAAGGTACAGCTCAGATGGGTCTTTGAGTTACTGTGTGTGGAGCAAAACTCACACGAGCAAGAAAAATATCTCTGTTGATTAAATCACAAGATTTTGTGATGATCTGTTATGGCCTATCCTAATACAATTCCTTACCATTCTCTTTGTCCTTTAAAATGTTTTTTTCTTCTTCTTTTTTTTAATTTTTGTTCTAGGGCCATATCACCCTGAACATACCCAATCTTGTCTGAAATGTCTGTCTTTTAACCTATGTATTATTTACAGAATCAGAATTTAAAATTTATAAAATAACTTTGAAAAACAGTAATATAAATATAAGAAAGTTGATAAAAATATTCAATTTTAATAACTGCTTTCACATTTCCTTCAGATTTTCATGTTTGTCTATGAATACAATGACCTAAGTTTAAATCATAGGAAAGAGTGAATTAAATCTAAAGTAGACTGAAGGAAGGACACAAGAGCGAGCAGAATTCAATAAAATTAAAAAGCAACAATGGAGCCAGGTACGGTGGCTCGTGCCTATAATCCCAGCAGCTCAGGAGGCTGAGGCAGGAGGTTAGTGAGTTCAGAGACAGCCTCAGGAAAAGTGAGGCGCTAAGCACCTCAGTAAGACCCTGCCTCTAAATAAAATACAAAATAGGGCTGAGGATGTGGCTCAGTGGTTAAGCACCCCTGGGTTCAATCCCCCGTACCCCCCCCCCAAAAAAAAAAAACAACCAATGGAAAAACAGAAAAAGAAAAAAGCAATGAGACAAAACTGGTTTCTTAAGGGAAAAAAAATAAAAGTGTTAAATTCCTAGCCAAACTACAAAAAGACATCACAAAGTAAATTAGTAAAGAGATTACCTCATCATGCACACATGCACATCCTCATGTGGATAAATTTCACTCCATAAAAAACACTTCTCTTTGAAGCACAGCAAAGAAAATAAAATGACAAGCTACACACTAAGAAAAATATTCACAATAAATATCTGATAATGACTTGGAGCCAGAATACAAAAGGGCTCTTATAACTCAATAATAAGACATATAGAACTTTACAAAAATAGGAAAAGATGTGAACGGACACACTGGAAAATGCAAATGAAAATAATAATGAGATCTGTGCATATCCATTAGAATAAAATAAAAAGACTGGCAATACAGGTGTTGACAAGGAAGAGGAATGACTACACCTGGACCCTCAGCTAGGAGTGGGGAGATGGAGATATATATATATATTATATATATATATATATATATATATACACACACACACACACACACACACATATGGGGATGGTACTGGGATGGAACTCAGGGACTCTTTACTATTGAGCAACATCCCAGTTCTTTTTATTTTTTGAGACAGATCTCGCTAAGTTTCCCAGGCTGGCCTTTAATTTTCGATCATACTACCTCAGTCTTCCAAGCTGCTGGATTATAAGAATGCACCCAGCACCCAGTGAAAACAGAAGATAATCTTTACAATCCTGATTAGGTTTATTAACTTCCTAGGGTTGCCATAACTGATTACAACTGGGAGTATAAACTAGATGGCTTGAAACAACATAAATCTGTTCCCTCAGTTTTGGCAGCCAGAAGTCTAAAATCAAGATGTCAGCAGAGCCATCCTTCCTTTGAAGTCTCTAGAGGAGAATTTTTCCTTTCCTCTTCCAGATTCTGGTGGCTCCTGGCGTTCCTTGGCTTATGGCAAGGTAAAGCCAGTCTCTACCTCCATCTTTACGTGGCCTTCTGCCTGTGACATGTCTTCCTACTGTGGTTTGGGTAGGTTTCCCAAAGATTCATGTGCTGCGGGCTTGGTCTCCAGTTTGTTGGTACTGAGGTGGCAGGACCTTTAATTAGACAGTAATTAGGCTGCTGGGGACACTGCCCTCAGAAGGGATTGCTAAAGTTCTCAAGGGAACTTGGTGAGGTCTCCTGCCAGAGGGTAGTTATAAAAAGTGAAAGCCTAGCTCCTCAATTTCTCATTTCCTTCCTGTCTTACCATGTGATCTCTTCTGTACATATTTTCACCATTGGGATGCCATCCATCATAAGCCCTCACCAGAGGCTAAACAGATGGGTACCACCCAATCTTGTACTTTCAGCCTCCAAAACAGTGAGCTAAATAAACCACCTTTCTTTATAAAGTTCCCAACCTGTTTCTTTTTTTTAAAAAAAAAATTTAGTTGTAGATGGACACAATACACATATTTTATTTATTTTTATGCAGTGCTGAGGGTCAAACCCAATGCCTCACACATGCTAGGCAAGCACTCTACCACTGAGCTACAGCCTCAGCCCCCAACCTGTTTCTTTAATGAAAAAAAAGTTCCAACATGGAATTCTATCCCAAGCCAAATGGTCAATTAAGTATAGATACAAAATAAAACCACATATTCAAACTGCTTTCCTCACACAAACTTCTTAGGAAGTCAATGAAACATACACCATCAAAATGAGAGAATAAACTAAAAAAGAGAAAGAACTGAGATCCATGAAATGAGATGCACCAGAAGAAAGGAAGAAGGATTCCTAGGTGAAGATTAACTATGCACCAGATCTAAGTGACACTCTAAATTGGAGTTGTGAATATGACTGAAGAAATTTCTATAAGATAGAAATCCCAAGTATCTTTTGAGTGTATCAAAACAAATTTACACAAAAGTAAAATCTGTGGTTGAATAAGTGCAGCCATATATGACTTAACAATGGTATGCATTCTGACAAATGTGTCATTGGGTGATTTCATTGTGCAAGCATCATAGTTCACAAACTTAAGATGGCTAAGATATGACTAGGCAATACTGTATAGCATTCACCATGGTAAATGCAATCCTCTGCTGACCTAAGCATTATGTGTCATAGGACCATATACAGAAAAAGATAAAGACAACTTTCAGGAAAAACAAAAATGTTGTTGAGGAAAGGACATATAATTATAGTATAAACCTTTGGTC